ATACAGGGACCTGTACCCAGGATATTCATGAACAACACATTCCAAAAAACATCATGATGATGATTTAGGAACTGTGGTCGGATACGCCGTCTATTTAGAATACAAGTAATTCACCTGTGGCCTTTTCAGTTAGCATGTTGTATAAGCATGTCTGGACTCGCTTTACATATGGAAGATACATGGGCCGACTAGGCACAGACCCAGAGGCCCAAACCTTGAAATCACCTGCAAAATGTCAAGACACTTATCATAGAGATGCAAAATGTCCACAAAGTCTTAAAATGACTAAAAGAGTCATAAAACCACAAAAAAGATGCATAATGATCACAATTATGATGAAAAGAGGCACAAACAACACATATGACGCATAAAGACCACAAGGAGGGAAGTAATGAGAGCATAGACACTAATAATGAAACACAAAACCAAAAAATATGCAAACGGACTACAGTGAGAGACAAAATGACCACTTAGAACACAAGATGGTCACAAAGAGACACAATGACCAGAAAGTGATGAAAAACGACAACAAGCTTAAAACAACGAAAAGGGACAAAACAACAGTGCTAAGGCCTTTTAAGTGTCTTTGCTCAGGGGACTCATGACTTTACAATTTAGTTTGAAACCTTTTCGTATAAATATTCATGTGTTAAGAACATCAAGCATTACACACCAGATCGAACAGCTTGGGTCTGGCCTGAGTGCCGATGTGCAGCAGGTCTTTGAAGCCCTGTGTGACCATCAGAGCCGTGCGCTCCCCCTCTCTCTCCAGCAGAGCGTTGGTCGCCACCGTGGTGCCCATCCGGATCCAGCCAATCAGAGAGGTGTCCACCGGCTGCTCGCGGGGGAACATCCGCCCCGTTTCCTGTACACAAATATATCATGGTTCACGTGGTTTTTGATTTTGTGTTGATTTAATGAGCAATACTATACAAGCTACATGGATCTGGATTCATTCATCCACCACATGACCACAGTCAGGGTCACATTGTATGCCTTTGTAAACACATACATCTATTGTGCATGGGTGCTTTCAGCTCCTGCTTTACACTCCCAAAGTTAATAACATTTTCCTATGCTTGAACTAATTTCAACTAATTGATTAGTTTGGCGCCCGAATCGCAGTCATTTTCATGCAATGTCAGAAAACAGGGAAAATCTGCACACAAATACTATCATGTAAAAGTAGATGTATCTGGGTTTTGCCCTGACAACATGAAACATTTAAAGACGTCACCTTGTACTTGACATGGGCATTTTTCACTAGTTTCTGATGTGTTATACTGAATTATCTTTTATTATTAAAACAATTGCTAGCTAAAAAATAAATTCTCTTTGTTTTTGCAATTAAAACAGCTTTACATATTGATAAAAATGGCTTCCGAAGAGGTGAGCTATGGAACTTGAACCAGACTCATGCCATAGTGTTCAAATTGAGACCATAATTAACATTTAGAGTCAAGGCTTTATTGGCATTTGTGCATAGTGTAGTTATGACAATGAAAATCTTAGGTCACATTTAATGAGGATTCCAGAGAATCAAAAGGAACATTTAAGGAGCTACAAGTTAAGACAGCTACATTGGTCTTTGAGTGTTCGGTAATTCTCCAAAACTCTTTGTACAAATGGAATATTAACTAGTAAATGCTTGCTTATGGTATGAATAATGTCCTGTCACGTTACCTCCTCCAGGACCCTGCGGATCCCCTCTGTTGGGGCGTCTTTGTAGTTCTGGGGGTCCCGGGACAGCAGCTTCAGGACTCTCTCGCTCCCATCGGGCAGACGGGCAAACACATCGGTGAAGGTGCCCCCCCGGTCGATGGCAAAGTCGAATTTCCCCTGAGTCTCAGCCATGGTGAAGAGAGAAGAAGAGCTGCTGAGAGAGATAATCTGCAGTCACAGGAGGAGAGTGAGGTGAGTTATATCCTCTGTATCACTGCGCTGATAACACACACATGCTCATTCACTAAATACACACTTATTGCACACTCACATTTCTTATGAACCCCCACCACGCTTATATAAGTCAGACCCCCCCTCTCTCTCTGATCTCCAGGTTTGGTTTAACATTTTGCTGACTACAGACATTCCTCACTCATCAAAACATCTAAACTTCACACTTCATGCTTATCTTACTCTCAACAGATGTGATATTTGACTAAAAGCAGTAAAACCACAGCGGAAAAAACTACAAGTATAAGTATTGCATTCACAAAAATGTAAAAGTGCAAAAGTTTAAGCATCAAAATATACTTTAAGAAAAGTACTTTTTATGCAGAATTTGTCCATAAATATTAATGCATGATGTTCATCAATAAAATCTTGCCGCTGGACTAAGTAGAGCTGCATTTATTAATGTATACTACTGGATAATTACATTATAAACTATATTAAATTGGTTGATAGCATTTTGTATTAATATGAAGGAGGTAGAAGTAGCCTTTAAAGTAGCAGAAAACAGAACTGGGTCATTCTACAGAAAAGGTGGAATCTGGGTGATACAAATCTGCTGAAATATATTCCTTCTAAAAACATCTAAAACCTGTTAAATAGCAATAACTAACTCTTAACTTGATGAATCCACAACAAGTAGAGCTTAAAATATTTTTTATTATTTTTGTACTTTATACAAAGCTTATTTGTATAGGAATGTCACTGGTGTTACGTGTTACCAGGAAGAAGAGTAACACCAGTGACAATTTGGAGAAAACACTACCATTTTAACAAAATGGCTGCAATGTGTCAGACCTGTCAGACCAAATATGGCTTCAGTCAATACAATACATTTTCCCATTCAAATGTTCACCCCTAGGGCTATGCAATGAGTAACACTAATGACAGACTTGAAAGACACATGTAAAATTGGAAGATAAAATGACACCTTTAACAAACGAAGTAAGAAGTATCTGACTTTCCTTATGTCTTTGTCCACTGCCTCAAATGATCTATTGTTACAGGAGGCACTTCAGAGACAGTACATTATTTCAAAATAAAAGCGTTTTGTGTAGCAGTAACACCAATGACGTAATTTTGGGTGACTGACATTTATTTGATATTATTAATAATAATTTGCGTTGTCTTTTACCATTTCAGTGTTAGCCTATATTTAATGCTTGTAATGTTATGTAAATATAAATTAGATTTATTTATTGAAAAAAAATCTTTTAAATTAAAACTATAGGCTCCACTTCCATGTATGATCAAAGTGACAAGGCAGTTCCTTGAACTTGACATTTTAAATAAATTGCAACTTACGTATAAAACCATTTTTTATTTAGTACCATTGCAAAGACAATCTCTATTTATTCAACATATATAATGAATGTGAGTATTAGGTCAACGTCATGTATTTTGGTGTCTGCAAAAGTAAGTGACAGCACTTCCACCTTTTCTGTAGAATGACCCAACTACTGAAGTAAAGTACACATGCAGTACTTGAGTAAATGTACTAGTATGTCTTGTACTTTTAGCTCGTTTGTGACAATTACAAGTTTTCTGCATGACCTTTAACAAACCATGTCTGACTTGTGAGTTTAACCATGCTATTACATATATATAGTGCATTTTCTTTTTACAAATGCAGATTATGTAATATATAGTATTCAGTCACAGCCAAACAGAGAGGATCCCTGCAGGAATATCAATGAAACTGCCCCCATAAAGTGAGATAAAACAGCCATAAACTCACTACTGATTCTGCAGCTGTTTGGTTTGGACTGTTATCGTTAGAGAGACATTAGAGACAGTAATAGAGGATAATGCAATATAAATGAGTTTTTGAAGACTGTCTGCAGCTGTGCATAGTGTGTCTGCAGACCCGTTTTGTGCAGTAGGATTGCTTGCAGGACTCAGAATCGACGCTAAATGTGTGCACAAAGTGTCGGTGTTTACCGTGTTCACTCACCGGTCCGCCGCTGCTGCTCTGTCCGGTGATAATCTGTGATAATCCGGTAATTATCAAATGTTCCTCCCCTCTGCACTGACGGTGTTTGAAGACAGGAACACAAGGCTGCTGCTGCTGCCTGAGGGTTAAACCCCCCCCCCCTGAGAGGCCCCGGTGACAGTGACGAGGACCCATTGACCTGTTTTTATGCTGTCCTAAAATATGAAGCTAAACTCTAAATTAAAATGTTTCATCATACTCCATGTTATTCTGAATCCATCACATCTGACACCACGCATGCACCTTGTCCAAGTGTCCACACAGCGACACCGACACCTGCTGGTGGTTTACTGGAAGTACAGATGTGACAGTGAGTGATAATGTATAAAGTGGTCCTCTCCAATTAAACAATACATTACAAAATCCAGTATATAAAACGTGATAAAACACAAAATAATGCCATCATTCAAGACTGACTGCACCACTTTAGTCACCTGAACATCAATACAATTCAAAAAGTAAATTTACAAGAAATTATAAATCTAAAAGTTGAAGCAAATTAGAGGTAAACAATTAGGAAAAGGGAACATGGGTTAAAATATGTCATATGCTTAAATTATTACTAATAAATTGTCTTCCAGAATAACACCAGAACTAAATGTACGGGGTCTGTAGAAAAAAAATATAAAAACAGGAATATATTATTTAAAATAAAACTAAAGCAAGCTCTCAGAAACAGCAAACAAAAATGTTCTGTTGATAGTAAATCATAGCTTGAAGAAAATAGAAATATCTAAACTTCCAACTGTCAAATGATTTGGAAGCCCATATGGGAAATTATTATTACACAATAGTACCATTTTCAAAATGATGTATGTTTTAGTTGAATAAAGTTTACATTAGTATGCAATAATTAAGTTAGCATTTGCATTTTGACATACTATGCATGTCCAATTGTTAATAAATACCTTTATATTTTGAACTGTGACTTTAATGTTTTCAACATTTATTTAAACAGGTAGTATACAGATTTGGTTAGGACTTATAGATAAACAATCCTTTAACTAATTTGTTTCATTAAAGGTATTATTATTGGAGTGAATAAAGAACAAAGACATGTGTGAGTTTTGAAGTGTATTTATTGATAATTAAGGCACAAGTGAACACCAGCGACACAGAGCTGATGTTTGAACACAGGTAACAGTGGAGACTTCTCATGGCTTGTCAGTGAGGGGCAGTAGTGTAGTGGAGGTGAGGACTCAATCAGAATAACATGCATAGATGAAATAGAACATATTACAAATACTACCATGGGTACAAAGCTTTTAAACGTTTAATAAAGCTGTAAGTGTGCTGGCTAACATGCAGCCGACCTATTAAGCTTCCGGACAAAATGAATAAATGTGCCTTCTCAGAAATATTTTCAAGTATTGCAATGAATCGGACTATTAACTTCTATTTATTAATAATATCAGCATATAACACTCAGTACCCTCAGCACCAAAACAGCCTGCTTCCACTCAAACATTAACAATCAAACACATTTCAAACTTCTTTGGTGACAAAGGACACATGCAGTCAGACACAAACAATGTAACGATATATAACTCTATTAACTGTGTTTGAATACCTCTATGGAGAAAATTGCACGTCAAGGACACAAGACAGATTTAGTCAGAAAACGTCCTCAGAATTAACCTGTAACAGCTTTTATGCACAAGAATAAGGCCACAGTTTAGATTCAGTTTAGATGTTTGGATGTTTTTATGTGGGTCTTATGAAGTACTTATCCACAGTCAGTGTATTACTGACAGCATGCAGTTTGGGTAACAGACAGGAGTACAAACAGGAAGCTAAGTAATGAACTGCTGAAAAAAATATATATATCAATATCAGTCTACTAAAGTTAATATGGAGAAGCACCAACAGACAACTCCACTTCATAAATCCAAACCGTCCCTTTAATGTAATGCATTGTAACTGCTTCCAAAACAGAAAAGGACACATCTGTATTGCTTCACTTGCAGTGCAAACATTTTAAAGTCAGAAGTGATCTTTTTAAAATATATATATCAACGTATAATTTAAAAGGTTTAATTAAAAAAATAAGTTATTCTAGTGGCACTGAAAAGTGGTTAGAAATGGTGTCCAGTTATAATACGAGGAACCTGCTTGAATCCACTTTTCGTTTAAGCTTAATCCTCTTTTCTCTATTTTAGAGAATACTTTATTTAAAGGTGTATATCTCAGTACATTTTATAATCTGACCTCTCAGGTTTCTCAGTGGCAGTTCTGACATTAGGATGACATTTCTGATTGTCGACGTTGCAGCGACATCCCCCGCTGGTGTCTCCAGGACCCTTTAAGAAACAGATCAGAATAAGAGGTGACTTACCTTTCAAATAAAACCTTTTTTAACCACCAAGTTTTGGCAGATTTGTATTTGGATCATTGTTCCAGGGTGTAGGAGATCTGGTTTCTACATAAAGGGTAATTGAAAATGTTTTCTCTCAGTGATCCTGCTGTTATGTTAAATGTCTGTTGTTTGTTTTTCATGTATTGTGTCTTGATATTTGTTTGTTGATGTTACACATGGAGCTGCTGTGATGCAAGTCAAATTTAAGACTTGATCTGAACAATAAAGTATTATCGTATCGTATTGTATCGTATCTTATTACAAAAGAGAGATGCAATGAGGAAAGGAAGGGTTTCTTACCCCCGGCCCCCAGCGAGGCCCTCTGGTCACCCAGCAGATCTCAGAGTGACAGACGGTGCAGCGCAGCCAATCACATCCATCCCTCTTCTGCACGATGATGCCACACTGCGGACAGTGCATGGCCTCGCCTGACTGCACCAGGGTCTGTTTGAGACAGAGAAGTGTGAGTGACAGTTTCTGATATGCAGAGATGGCAAAAGTACACACATCCTTTACTCAAGTAGAAGTACAGATACTCGTGTTTAAAAATACTCTGGTACAAGTAGAAGTACTGACTAAACTTGTTTACTCAATTCAAAGTAAAGAGGCTTTGAAATGTACTTCAGTAAAAAGTACCCATAACTAGCAGCTGTTTTAAAGAGTACCTGACCTCCCTTTATATTAATAGAACAATGATGTCATTGTTAGCTAATGAATGTTTCCATGCTGAACAACGGCAACATGACAACGTTTCCATTGGTCCCTCTTCTTTAGAGAAGACCAGGAAATGATGGATACACGGATCGTGTTCAAATCAATAGACACGCAATGACTCTAAAGAATAATGATCACGCATCAAACACACATTCAGACTAAAGGAACCAGCTGTTTGGAAAATGAGAGAAGTAGAAAGTACAGGTATTTGAGTTCAACATGTAAGAAGTAGAAAGTACAGGTATTTGGGTTTCAACATGTAAGAAGTAGAAAGTACAGGTATTTGAGTTCAACATGTAAGAAGTAGAAAGTACAGGTATTTGAGTTCAACATGTAAGAAGTAGAAAGTACAGGTATTTGTGTTCAACATGTAAGAAAGTAGAAAGTACAGGTATTTGGGTTCAACATGTAAGAAGTAGAAAGTACAGGTATTTGTGTTCAACATGTAAGAAGTAGAAAGTACAGGTATTTGAGTTCAATATGTAAGAAGTAGAAAGTACAGGTATTTGAGTTCAACATGTAAGAAGTAGAAAGTACAGGTATTTGAGTTCAACATGTAAGAAGTAGAAAGTACAGGTATTTGAGTTCAACATGTAAGAAGTAGAAAGTACAGGTATTTGTGTTCAACATGTAAGAAGTAGAAAGTACAGGTATTTGAGTTCAACATGTAAGAAGTAGAAAGTACAGGTATTTGTGTTCAACATGTAAGAAGTAGAAAGTACAGGTATTTGTGTTCAACATGTAAGAAGTAGAAAGTACAGGTATTTGTGTTCAACATGTAAGAAGTCAAAGCAAAAAGTCGTCAGAAAAAGAATGGAGTAAAGTACTGATACCAGAAAAATGTACTTAAGTACAGTAACAAAGTATTTGTACTCCTCTACTTCCCACCTCTGCTGATACGCATGAAACGTGATTTTATCCCAGATTGGTTATTGCACCAGTGCATTCATTAAAACCAGTAAAATAGACAGCTTAGAGGAGGTTTTTCTTTCACTTCACAGTTCACACATAAACACAAGTGAATGCAGCTTGCCTTCAGTAGGTGTGTCGTCCTCCTGGCTGCAGAGTCATTTATAGCGCGCGCTGCGAGGTCATCCTGGTATTGCTTACAGTTCATTCCCTCGTGGATAGACTGAGGAGAGACGGGACATAGAAACAAGGAGCTAAATATAACCTCAGTGGAAGTTGAATGCATACAAATAGAAACATTTCTGTCTCTAAACAGCAGTACGCCTGAGGGGATCAGTCCAATTAGAAACATGTGAGTTTCAATAAGTTCTTTCAAAGGGCTTGTTGTTATCAATTAGCTCTGACTAATTTGTTAGAGCACAGTACAATCTTTCTACCATTTCTATTATCACCAACACAGAATATATAATTGTCTACCACTAGGGGTCTCCTAATCAAAACATGACACCATCACAACTAACAAAATAAAATGCAATCTTACCTTGATTACATTTACGGATTGCTCTGGGTTTGAAAATTGTTGGAAATAATGTGAGTATCAAACTCAACAATATATATATGTAACAAAGTCTAGCTGTTTTTCTACTTTGAATGCAGTAATCTTAAACATTGCCCCAGTAAATGATCCAATGCTGTATCATTTGTGTGTATATACTGTTGATATGTCCTACCTTGCAGATGAGGCAGTTGTGCTTGGTGCAGACGGGGCAGTGGAAGACGTTGACCGTGTCCTCGTACACACACCAGCCTGCACAGTCGGGGGTGGCGCAGTGATAGCTGCCCTCGCACCGAGACTCTGCCACCGACAGTCCTCTCTGCAGCCAGCGCTCGTACTCCTCTGCCGGCACCAACTGAGGACGAGGAAGGGATGTAAGTTATGAAGGACGAGTTAATACTAATTTCCACCACCTAGTTTCCGTTCAACATTACCATCACTTCAGTCACATGCTTTTATCACATGGAAATACTTATGTTGATGTATAATTTTTTTGCTATGATGTTTGTATTTTGCTTTTGTTTGCTTTGTACAGCCCTTTGAGGCATTTCTTGTGATTTGGGGCTATAATACATTTTGATTTGATTTAATAATACTGCTAACAGGATTCTGGATTTCAGGATTCTGTGGTTTCCATGCATTGATACATTGTTCTTCCACACATCTTGTTCTGCGCACAAAGGCATTTAAACTGTTACATTCCTTCAGCTTTTCTGTTTAGATTATAGTTAATGTTTTTACATCTAGAAGCTGGGGAGGTTAAGAAACTGTTGCTTCATATAAGCTGAAGCCGCTGAAGTCTTTCCTCATGAGGAGAGGTCAAAGTCTGGGCAGAAAACAGAGCAGTAGCTCCAGCACAAAGTACTTTAAATATTCAAAACTTGACTGGAAATCAACACAAAACAGGCGTAACTCCTATAGTTAATGGAAAACAAGATGGAAAATCTGTAGCCATGTTTACAGCATGCTCAAATATAGTGTATCAATAAAAACACTGCAGCAGCATCAAGAGGTGTGCATTCTTCTTGTAGTGACTAATTGACACCTAGATTCTTGATGTTACTGCTACTTTTCCTGATGGACTAACTCAACACCGTTTTGTTCTCTTTACACAGAAGGAAGCATTCTTTTAGCTACTTCAGGAAAAAAGGCCAGTTGTAAATATGTGGGCGATAAAACAGTGTGTGTTGGTGTGACTCACGGCTCTGATCTCCCTCTCCTGCAGGGAGCAGGTACAGGAGTACGTGTCGTCTCTGTAGGGACACGCCACCTCCGGCTCCTCACTCAGCATGATGACTGAACGCAGGCACTCTCTGGAGACACACATCGAATAATAATAAATAAATAATAATAATGATCACGCCACCAAACACACATTCAAACTAAAGGAACCAGCCTGTTCGAAAAATGTGAGAAGTAGAAAGTACAGGTATTTGAGTTCAAAGTGTAAGAAGTAGAAAGTACAGGTATTTGTGTTCAAAGTGTAAGAAGTAGAAAGTTCAGGTATTTGTGTTCAACATGTAAGAAGTAGAAAGTACAGGTATTTGAGTTCAACATGTAAGAAGTAGAAAAGTACAGGTATTTGTGTTCAACATGTAAGAAGTAGAAAGTACAGGTATTTGAGTTCAAAGTGTAAGAAGTAGAAAGTTCAGGTATTTGTGTTCAACATGTAAGAAGTAGAAAGTACAGGTATTTGAGTTCAACATGTAAGAAGTAGAAAGTACAGGTATTTGTGTTCAACATGTAAGAAGTAGAAAGTTCAGGTATTTGGGTTCAACATGTAAGAAGTAGAAAGTACAGGTATTTGTGTTCAACATGTGAGAAGTAGAAAGTACAGGTATTTGTGTTCAACATGTAAGAAGTAGAAAGTTCAGGTATTTGGGTTCAACATGTAAGAAGTAGAAAGTTCAGGTATTTGAGTTCAACATGTAAGAAGTAGAAAGTACAGGTATTTGTGTTCAACATGTAAGAAGTAGAAAGTTCAGGTATTTGTGTTCAACATGTAAGAAGTAGAAAGTACAGGTATTTGTGTTCAACATGTGAGAAGTAGAAAGTTCAGGTATTTGTGTTCAACATGTAAGAAGTAGAAAGTTCAGGTATTTGTGTTCAACATGTAAGAAGTAGAAAGTACAGGTATTTGTGTTCAACATGTAAGAAGTAGAAAGTTCAGGTATTTGTGTTCAACATGTAAGAAGTAGAAAGTACAAGTATTTGAGTTCAACATGTAAGAAGTAGAAAGTACAGGTATTTGGGTTCAAAATGTAAGAAGTAGAAAGTACAGGTATTTGTGTTCAACATGTAAGAAGTAGAAAGTACAGGTATTTGGGTTCAACATGTAAGAAGTAGAAAGTACAGGTATTTGGGTTCAACATGTAAGAAGTAGAAAGTACAGGTATTTGAGTTCAAAGTGTAAGAAGTAGAAAGTACAGGTATTTGAGTTCAACATGTAAGAAGTAGAAAGTACAGGTATTTGTGTTCAACATGTAAGAAGTAGAAAGTACAGGTATTTGTGTTCAACATGTGAGAAGTAGAAAAGTACAGGTATTTGAGTTCAACATGTAAGAAGTAGAAAGTACAGGTATTTGTGTTCAACATGTAAGAAGTAGAAAGTACAGGTATTGTGTTCAACATGTGAGAAGTAGAAAGTACAGGTATTTGAGTTCAACATGTAAGAAGTAGAAAGTACAGGTATTTGTGTTCAACATGTAAGAAGTAGAAAGTAGCAGGTATTTGTGTTCAACATGTAAGAAGTAGAAAGTACAGGTATTTGTGTTCAACATGTGAGAAGTAGAAAGTACAGGTATTTGAGTTCAACATGTAAGAAGTAGAAAGTTCAGGTATTTGTGTTCAACATGTAAGAAGTAGAAAGTACAGGTATTTGTGTTCAACATGTAAGAAGTAGAAAGTACATGTATTTGTGTTCAACATGTGAGAAGTAGAAAGTACAGGTATTTGAGTTCAACATGTAAGAAGTAGAAAGTACAGGTATTTGTGTTCAACATGTAAGAAGTAGAAAGTACAGGTATTTGGGTTCAACATGTAAGAAGTAGAAAGTACAGGTATTTGAGTTCAACATGTAAGAAGTAGAAAGTTCAGGTATTTGGGTTCAACATGTAAGAAGTAGAAAGTACAGGTATTTGAGTTCAACATGTAAGAAGTAGAAAGTACAGGTATTTGTGTTCAACATGTGAGAAGTAGAAAGTTCAGGTATTTGTGTTCAACATGTAAGAAGTAGAAAGTTCAGGTATTTGTGTTCAACATGTAAGAAGTAGAAAGTACAAGTATTTGAGTTCAACATGTAAGAAGTAGAAAGTACAGGTATTTGGGTTCAAAATGTAAGAAGTAGAAAGTACAGGTATTGTGTTCAACATGTAAGAAGTAGAAAGTACAGGTATTTGGGTTCAACATGTAAGAAGTAGAAAGTACAGGTATTTGGGTTCAACATGTAAGAAGTAGAAAGTACAGGTATTGAGTTCAAAGTGTTAAGAAGTAGAAAGTACAGGTATTTGAGTTCAACAATGTAAGAAGGTAGAAGTACAGGTATTTGTGTTCACATGTAAGAAGTAAAGTAGCAGGGAATTTGTGTTCAACATGTGAGAAGTAAGAAGAGTAGCAGGTATTTGAGTTCAACATGTAAGAAGTAGAAAGTACAGGTATTTGTGTTCAACATGTAAGAAGTAGAAAGTACAGGTATTTGGTTTTCAACATGTAAGAAGTAGAAAGTACAGGTATTTGTGTTCAACATGTGAGAAGTAAAAGTACAGGTATTTGAGTTCAACATGTAAGAAGTAGAAAGTACAGGTATTTGTGTTCAACATGTAAGAAGTAGAAAGTAAAGGTATTTGTGTTTCAAAATGTAAGAAGTAGAAAGTACAGGTATTTGTGTTCAAACATGTGAGAAGTAGAAAGTACAGGTATTTGAGTTTCAACATGTAAGAAGTAGAAAGTACAGGTATTTGTGTCAACATGTAAGAAGTAGAAAGTACAGGTATTTGTGTTCAACATGTAAGAAGTAGAAAGTACAGGTATTTGTGTTCAACATGTGAGAAGTAGAAAGTACAGGTATTTGAGTTCAACATGTAAGAAGTAGAAAGTTCAGGTATTTGTGTTCAACATGTAAGAAGTAGAAAGTACAGGTATTTGTGTTCACAGGTAAGAAGTAGAAGAAAGTACATGTATTTGTGTTCAACATGTGAGAAGTAGAAAGTACAGGTATTTGTGTTCAACATGTAAGAAGTAGAAAGTGGACAGGTATTTGGGTTCAACATGTAAGAAGTAGAAAAGTACAGGTATTTGAGTTCAACATGTAAGAAGTAGAAAGTTCAGGTATTTGGGTTCAACATGTAAGAAGTAGAAAGTACAGGTATTTGAGTTCAACATGTAAGAAGTAGAAAGTACAGGTATTTGGGTTCAACATGTGAGAAGTAGAAAGTACAGGTATTTGTGTTCAACATGTAAGAAGTAGAAAGTTCAGGTATTTGTGTTCAACATGTAAGAAGTAGAAAGTTCAGGTATTTGTGTTCAACATGTAAGAAGTAGAAAGTACAGGTATTTGGGTTCAACATGTAAGAAGTAGAAAGTTCAGGTATTTGTGTTCAACATGTAAGAAGTAGAAAGTTCAGGTATTTGAGTTCAACATGTAAGAAGTAGAAAGTACAGGTATTTGTGTTCAACATGTAAGAAGTAGAAAGTTCAGGTATTTGTGTTCAACATGTAAGAAGTAGAAAGTACAGGTATTTGTGTTCAACATGTAAGAAGTAGAAAGTTCAGGTATTTGTGTTCAACATGTAAGAAGTAGAAAGTACAGGTATTTGGGTTCAAAATGTAAGAAGTAGAAAGTACAGGTATTTGGGTTCAACATGTAAGAAGTAGAAAGTACAGGTATTTGAGTTCAACATGTGAGAAGTAGAAAGTACAGGTATTTGTGTTCAACATGTAAGAAGTAGAAAGTACAGGTATTTGTGTTCAACATGTGAGAAGTAGAAAGTACAGGTATTTGAGTTCAACATGTAAGAAGTAGAAAGTACAGGTATTTGTGTTCAACATGTAAGAAGTAGAAAGTTCAGGTATTTGGGTTCAACATGTAAGAAGTAGAAAGTACAGGTATTTGTGTTCAACATGTGAGAAGTAGAAAGTACAGGTATTTGGGTTCAAAATGTAAGAAGTAGAAAGTACAGGTATTTGTGTTCAACATGTGAGAAGTAGAAAGTTCAGGTATTTGGGTTCAACATGTAAGAAGTAGAAAGTACAGGTATTTGTGTTCAACATGTAAGAAGTAGAAAGTACAGGTATTTGTGTTCAACATGTGAGAAGTAGAAAGTACAGGTATTTGAGTTCAACATGTAAGAAGTAGAAAGTACAGGTATTTGTGTTCAACATGTAAGAAGTAGAAAGTTCAGGTATTTGGGTTCAACATGTAAGAAGTAGAAAGTACAGGTATTTGTGTTCAACATGTAAGAAGTAGAAAGTACAGGTATTTGTGTTCAACATGTGAGAAGTAGAAAGTACAGGTATTTGAGTTCAACATGTAAGAAGTAGAAAGTACAGGTATTTGTGTTCAACATGTAAGAAGTAGAAAGTACAGGTATTTGTGTTCAACATGTGAGAAGTAGAAAGTTCAGGTATTTGTGTTCAACATGTAAGAAGTAGAAAGTACAGGTATTTGGGTTCAAAATGTAAGAAGTAGAAAGTACAGGTATTTGGGTTCAACATGTAAGAAGTAGAAAGTACAGGTATTTGAGTTCAACATGTGAGAAGTAGAAAGTACAGGTATTTGTGTTCAACATGTAAGAAGTAGAAAGTACAGGTATTTGTGTTCAACATGTGAGAAGTAGAAAGTACAGGTATTTGAGTTCAACATGTAAGAAGTAGAAAGTACAGGTATTTGTGTTCAACATGTAAGAAGTAGAAAGTACAGGTATTTGGGTTCAACATGTAAGAAGTAGAAAGTTCAGGTATTTGGGTTCAACATGTAAGAAGTATAAAGTTCAGGTATTTGTGTTCAACATGTAAGAAGTAGAAAGTTCAGGTATTTGAGTTCAACATGTAAGAAGTAGAAAGTACAGGTATTTGTGTTCAACATGTAAGAAGTAGAAAGTTCAGGTATTTGTGTTCAACATGTAAGAAGTAGAAAGTTCAGGTATTTGTGTTCAACATGTAAGAAGTAGAAAGTACAGGTATTTGTGTTCAACATGTAAGAAGTAGAAAGTTCAGGTATTTGTGTTCAACATGTAAGAAGTAGAAAGTACAGGTATTTGGGTTCAAAATGTAAGAAGTAGAAAGTACAGGTATTTGTGTTCAACATGTAAGAAGTAGAAAGTACAGGTATTTGGGTTCAACATGTAAGAAGTAGAAAGTACAGGTATTTGAGTTCAAAGTGTAAGAAGTAGAAAGTACAGGTATTTGAGTTCAACATGTAAGAAGTAGAAAGTACAGGTATTTGTGTTCAACATGTAAGAAGTAGAAAGTACAGGTATTTGTGTTCAACATGTGAGAAGTAGAAAGTACAGGTATTTGAGTTCAACATGTAAGAAGTAGAAAGTACAGGTATTTGTGTTCAACATGTAAGAAGTAGAAAGTACACGTATTTGTGTTCAACATGTAAGAAGTAGAAAGTACAGGTATTTGTGTTCAACATGTGAGAAGTAGAAAGTACAGGTATTTGAGTTCAACATGTAAGAAGTAGAAAGTACAGGTATTTGAGTTCAACATGTAAGAAGTAGAAAGTACAGGTATTTGTGTTCAACATGTAAGAAGTAGAAAGTACAGGTATTTGTGTTCAACATGTAAGAAGTAGAAAGTACAGGTATTTGTGTTCAACATGTGAGAAGTAGAAAGTACAGGTATTTGAGTTCAACATGTAAGAAGTAGAAAGTACAGGTATTTGTGTTCAACATGTAAGAAGTAGAAAGTACAGGTATTTGTGTTCAACATGTAAGAAGTAGAAAGTACAGGTATTTGTGTTCAACATGTAAGAAGTAGAAAGTTCAGGTATTTGTGTTCAACATGTAAGAAGTAGAAAGTACAGGTATTTGTGTTCAACATGTAAGAAGTAGAAAGTACATGTATTTGTGTTCAACATGTGAGAAGTAGAAAGTACAGGTATTTGTGTTCAACATGTAAGAAGTCAAAGCAAAAAGTCGTCAGAAAAAGAATGGAGTAAAGTACTGATACCAGAAAAATGTACTTAAGTACAGTAACAAAGTATTTGTACTCCACTACTTCCCACCTCTGCCTTTCCACCTGTTATAACACATGTTCTCTGAGTACCTGCAGAAGCAGTGCAGACACTCCCTCAGCAGGACCCCCTCCCCTCTCTTCAGGTCCACATAGCAGATCCTGCAGTCCACGGGCTCGGGGTTCGGCAGCAGCTCCTGTCCGTCCAGCAGCACCAGCCGGGCGAAGTTCTCTCTGCGCTCCGCTTCCCGGGCCTGGGGTTATTGGGAGGGTATTTATCATATGCACAATAAACATGGCAATGCACTGAATGTATGCTGGGAAAATATTGAACGTACTCTTCCAATATCAGAGTACACATGATAACAAAGGTATCCCAACTGCAGCTGTGAACATGACAGGATGTGTGATTACCTAGAAGAGCATCAGGACTGTTTGAGGCATATGATAGCTATGTGATTAACATGATGATTCAGCCTCTATGGAGAGAGACATCAAGCATGCTCATTTCTGACGTGGAGCTAATCTGAAGTAAACATTGAATACTGCTTTCTGTTCCTCCATCTTGTGACTGTATAACTCCCTCTCTTGGATATCAGCATGTGAAGGACACTGTTCAGGAACTACTTGATGCTCTGTATGTGATGACTCCTTCCATTCTGGAGAGGATCACAGATACATGGATCCTGAGGTTGAAGCTCAAGCCGGTGACGAGTGAGATTGTTCTAACAATGTGTAAGAAGTATAGTAAGACGCAAACATTGTGTATAAACATTTTATTTCAATGTGATTCACAATATACAGTGCAAAAATAGCAATCAGGCTGATACATTCAATTTAGTGGCAGACTCTTATTAAAATTCATTAAAAAAACACCTGATGCTGATCATGATTATCCAGCTTAATAGAAGTACAAGTCTTTCATGACCTTTATCACCCCTTTATATGTCCAGCAGGCTGTACCAATAACCAGATATATGAGGGCTTGACTCAGGGTTTCACAAGAGAGTCAGACTAAGTGATTTATTTCATTATGATACAAATAAATCCATCTCTCCCAGACTTTTTAAAACTCTAAAATTGCAATATTTGATTTTTTGTTTGTAGGATAACATATACCACCACCTATTTGACCGGTATTAGGTTGATAGGGATATATAAAAGTCTTGTAAATCTCAAATGACCCACATTCAACTTCAGAGTGGCAATAAAGGGTCATGTGCTTTCTAATAGTATATTTCTGCTGAGACGATGGTTCAGGCTGTCAATGAGACATATCTAAACGTGTGTGTGTGTGTGTGTGTTCAGTAGTCCTGGTCCAGGTTAAACAGGAGTGAGTTGTTTTGAGCCTCAGCACTCCTCAGCACCTCTCTTCTCCCTTTCTCCTTTAAAAAAACAGAGACAGAAGAGAGTAAAACTGAGGGGCCGGCAAATTTGAACTTTAATCAATTTCAGACTTTCCCCCTGCTTAGCATTTGGTCCAACGTGGAGCCCTGTGTTGCTTTAAGGGCTGTACTTATGTTATTCCTTCATTCTAAAATGGCAACTAAGATAATTCACTATAATAGTGTAAGAGCTAAACTACAATTTGTGTAATTACATTTTATAAATGTACTTTTTGGTGCTGTTAGATTGCTGCATACGTCTAAATATATGATATGTTTAAATTCGTCTCATTCATAGACTGAACCATCATCTCTTTTGACTAATCAGACATTTACTATTAGATCACATAAGAAATCCTCATGCCAACGTCTATTTTTATGTCTATGTGCTTGAATTAAAAGCACATGGCTCTTTTATTTCCACTCTTAAGTTGAATGTGGGCCATTTGAGATTTACAATACTTTGATATCCCCACCAATTGTTCAATAAATGAAATAGGTGGAGGTATATGTTATCATACAGTAAATACAGATATTTTAATAGATGTTGTGAATTTTGGAAATAACATCTAGTTTTAATAAGTGTCATTTTTTATCTGACACTGCACAAATACCGGGTTCAAACTGAATGCCACCATCAAACCAAGGTTTTACTCTCAGTTCATATAATAATATATTTTATTTCTATAGCGCTTTTCTTGAACCCAAAGACACTTAAATATGGGTGGATGAAGCTGTTGTTTATACATAGAGTGTACTGTGTGTGTCAGACTGAGTGTTCAGGTGTTCAGGTGTTAGTGAGTTTCTACCTGCTGGTACTGTCTGACCGCCTCCTTCTCCTGCTGGATGCGTCTGAGCTCCAGGTCGTCGGGCCGGTACCCCCCCGGAACCACGTATCTCTCAGGGCGGTTGGTGCTGCAGATCTCACAGCCCGGACGCGTGGGTTTGTTGATGTAGGTGCAGGACGGACACGCCCAACCCTGAGGGGTGGGATCAATCAACCAACAACTTTATTAATCCTGCAGGGGGCAATTGGTTATGAGCAGCTTTTGTCATGTACACAGGCAGGAAGAAAGCACACAGATACACCCAGGAGCCTGGATGTGGATCATTCCAATTTACACGATAGATAGTTCATAGCATCACAATAAAGAAGTAAATAAATAATCAAGTTAAAAAACCTATCAAGAATTTGGCAACAGATGAAATTCATGACCTGGAGATTAATTTAATCTGTTGCCATCAGGGCGTAGATATGCTCTCCCTGCTCTTAAGAGAAAGAACATGTGAGAAACATAGCTACCTACTTTAAATGACATATTTGATCAAACATTGAGCATGTCTAAAAGTGTGTAAATAATAAGGTTCTGTTGTTATTAGAGCATGACTGCTCTCTTACCTGTGTGGAGGCTGTGTTGGGGGTCAGAGCTCTGTTGAGTTGAGGCATCTCCATGTTGGCTAGATCTCTGATCTCACGGATGTTCCCTCTCTCAGACCCACCTGAGACAGAACAAAGCATCTACTAAGCAACCAGGAATGTTTCATATGTGTGCATGGTTATACTTTAGTGGTGTTGGGTCACGGTAGGGCTTGAGCCAAGCTAGAGAAGCATATGGGTCGTAGCATTACATTTAAATACCCTGTAGTTTTCAATGTGTTTCAGTGCCGAGATATTGACTTCTGGTGTTGTTGCAGCATCAGATTTTTCTTACAGTATATTATGAAGCGCTTCAGGTCCTTTTTCTACCTACTGCTAAAACAGTTAATGATTCAAAGCGTATTATAGTCAACTAAACACCGAACTAAGAGCTGTAATCTCATGTGTGCCCTTGACATTTAGAAGTAATATACAGGAAATGCAGATACAGGAAAACATTCCTGCCCACTGCAATAACTCTATATAACAAATCACCTCTGGCTGGCAAAATTAGGATCAATAAAGTACTATCTTATCTCTTATCTTATTAAAAAATCAAATCTGATAACCGTCACAAACGCCCTCCCTCACCCGTGCTGCTGCTGCGGAGCCTCGCAGGCAGGGTGGTGTACGGCCTCCGGTCCAGAGAGGAGGGGTCGTTAGCAGAGGTAGCGTTCAGCGGGGGGGTGGGGGGGAGGCAGAGAGGGAGGGCTGAGGAGAGGCAGAGAGGGAGGGGTGAGGAGCAGAGCACTCTCCTGGTCCTGCTGCAGGGCCTGGAGGGAGAGGCGAGCGTGTCGGGCGGACAGGAGGAACAGGAAGGCCGAGTCGTCGTTCTGACGGACCCCGTACGAGGCCAGGGAGCGCTGGTCGCTGCACAGACACTGACCGATCACCCAGCGCTGCACCCGAGGGTGGAAGCCGTACTCCAGGAACATCTGGGGAGGAAGAACAGTGGGGAAGACATTTTAGCCTGTTTTAAATTAATTTGTGATTCTATGAAAGCTCAATATGTCATTTTATGCCGTGGTTTCTCATTTAAAACAACGACAAAAGACAGAGTTTGTGTTCTGAATGTCCTCTTCCACTCTCAGAGTCCACATGATGACAAAGGTATCCCAACTGTAGCTGTGAACATGACAGGATGTGTGATTACCTAGAAGAGCATCAGGACTGTTTGAGGCATATGATAGCTATGTGATTAACATGATGATTCAGCCTCTATGGAGAGAGACATCAAGCATGCTCATTTCTGACGTGGAGCTAATCTGAAGTAAACATTGAATACTGCTTTCTATTCCTCCATCTTGTGACTGTGTAACTCCCTCTCTTGGATATCAGCATGTGAAGGACACTGTTCAGGAACTAGTTAGACCAAATGCTCTGTATGTGATGAATACTTCATTGTTTGTATTGAAGTTTTTACCCCGAGCAGAATTATCTACGGATAACTTCCTCTCCAAAACCAACAGTCTTGTGATTTAACAAGTACAAACAGGGAATGAAGCAGTGTTATGTCAAGCTGTTTGGCTGCAGCTGATGTATCTTTTCAGCTGAGTCCTCTGATAGCTTAAGATCCCATCATCCAATGACTAACATCCTTCCTCAGGTTACAATATAGAGCTAAAAACGACCAAGATCGAAACGGTGTTTGGTGAAAAATGTGTCTTAAAGTGGATACAAAGTCTAATTGTGACAGCTTCTGACAGACCACGCTGTCACATGCTCAAAGGGAATAAGACGCCATTACTAAATAAATCAAATCAACTGGACATGATTATTTCAGGACACTAATAAAGAACAGAAGCATCTCTCAGACTAACCTGCTGTTTCAGTGCAGCCGTCGTCATGTGTGGGAAAACCTTCACAGTGACGCAACACGACGAAGAAGAATCCTCAACAGCAACGACCAAGCTGTCGGATAAATGAGACGCACACAGTTAGACAAACTCTTCCTAAAGATAAAGATCATTTATCGATCCCAATTTGGGCAATGTTTTTCGTCAGCCGGTTAAAACAAGGCAGTGCACGTCATTTGAAAATGAAAAATAGTAGAAAATAAATAAAACTGAGATATACACATCTCAGGATATAACATCTTTAAATATGACATTATTGAGCCATGGAAGGTTAAAGTGAAAAGAGGAAATGTTGAATATGGTTAATCTATTTGGAGTAAGCTGTACTCTGCTCTGTTTGTGGATGTGCTTTTATTGTATTTTGTCAAATCTAACGTTCTACTAACGGCACACTTTTTTATTTTTTTTATTTATTTTCAGCATTATGTTGCAATCTGCCATATGTCTAATGTTGGGGAATGTTCGGTTGTGTTTGTGTCATGTGATAATAACATTATTATCCATTAATCTGCCTACTTGATTTCATTGTCCTCAGCGTCTCGGGGGGTCGGTTGGATCTTCAGCGCGGCGTGTTGTCGGGCGAGCGTCGCAGCGCAGAGCGACGCAGACTGCATGTCGCCTGCCTCTATGGCTCGAGTCAGCTCTAGGCAGGTGTCCTCTACAGATGGATACACACACACACACACACACACACACACACACACACACACACACACACACACACACACACACACACACACACACACACACACACACACACACACACACACACACACACACACACACACACACACACACACACACACACACACACACACACACACACACACACACACACACACACACACACACACACACACACACACACACACACACACACACACACACACACACACACACACACACACACACACACACACACACACACACACACACACACACACACACACACACACACACACACACACACACACACACACACACACACACAGGTGAACACAGTGTGCAGAGGATGTTCCCATACCTCCAAACAGCCACTAGAGGGCTGATTCAATGAATGAATGAAAGGAGTGAGGGAATCAGGGAATTAGTTACATCACATCTAAAAGAAATCAATCAGATAATACTTTATATTAATTAAGAGTTCACACCTGTTCGTTGCAAGGCTGTTGTTTTTTCAAGTTGGAGCTCATCGGGGGGGCGCGGTGGACTGTAGTGTTGAGGGGCGACTGCCAATGAGAAGAAGAGATTTAGATAAACAAATCAAAAAGACGCACTAATCAACTGATTCAGATTCTACAGAAACATCTCTTCTACTGTCAATTTGTAACAAAGATTACATCGTTTTTTGACATTTAAATATGAAAAAGGCACTTATTAACCAGACTCTTCATCTACACAGTCAAGGTTTTAACATATTTTATTAGAACAGTCAGCAACATAGTCAATAACACGGTAAATATTTATGTCTGATGTTATTTATTAAGGTTATTTAAATGCTAAGTTAATGAAATGTATGGGCATGAGTTTGTAATGCAGCCACGGATAATGAATTTAATATTTATCCATGGCTCAGGTTTATCATTCCATTAACTTTCTTACGCCTTTCTTTTTTTACTTTCCCATGAATGTAATTGAGTAAACAAGGGGCGAGTTTGTGATTCAGCACAGAGCAACTAATTGATATTCCCCCTGAAACCACAATATGGAGCTTGTTTACAGTGGTTGCGATGGACTGTAGAGAAAAGCTCTTTTGTTCAAATAAATAATGATATAACCGGCTGGATTCATCACGCTGAATTAGCATGAAGTATTTCGCTAAAGGGAAACATCATTACTCCGAATCACAGACAACAGGGCTTTTCCTGCATGTTCCTGCAGTTTTGCTCACGAATATCTACATATCCACACCCTCCATTCTGCTGTGGTTGTTAGAGGTGGGAAGTAGTGGAGTACAAATACTTCGTTACTGTACTTAAAAGGTCCCATGCCATGGCCATTTCTACTGATCATAATTCCATTGATGAGGTATACTAAAATAGAGTTATATTGTGCAATGTTCCAAACTCACATTGGTTTCTCACACAGCATCTCTGTATAGTATGTGTATTAACTCTCTGTCCTAAACGGCTTGTTGGAGCTCCTGCCCCCCCCCCCCCCCCTATGAGCCCAGTGGCCGTCTGCGAGACAGCGAGACACAGCGAAACCAGCCCGAACACACACACACACACCCGCAGCCTGGCTGGGAGTTTGTGTATGTGCTCACAGCCTTCTCACATTTTCCAAACAGCTGGTTCCTTTAGTCTGAATGTGTGTTTGATGCGTGATCATTATTCTTTAGAGTCATTGCGTGCCTATTGATTTGAACACGATCCGTGTATCCATCATTTCCTGGTCTTCTCTAAAGAAGAGGGACCAATGGAAACGTTGTCATGTTGCCGTTGTTCAGCATGGAAACATTCATTAGCTAACAATGACATTATTGTTCTATTAATATAAAGGGTCAGGTACTCTTTAAAACAGCTGCTAGTTATGGGTACTTTTTACTGAAGTACATTTCAAAGCCTCTTTACTTTCACTTGAGTAAAGAAGTTTATGGCGCATTTCCACTGCAACGGGGTAGCCCCGTTTAAGCGTCCCTAGCGTCCTCGCTCAGGCCTCGGGCATCAATGAGATGTAGGAACCTCGTCACCTCCTCGGTCGACCACGGTGTGCTTTTCTTATTAGACGTAGCCATTTTTGTAGCTCATCCGTTTACAAAATGCTGTTTATAAAAATGCTGCAAGCTTGCTTCTAAATATATATGCGACGCTAGGGATGAACTTGCGCGCAATCTTGTGACGATTCTCTCTGACCAATCAGCAGTCGAGAGTGTTGACGTCACTAGTTCAGCCCTGGCCCTGGTCTGATAGAACCACGATTTTATGGGGCCGGAAAAAGAGGGAAAAAGTACCCGCTAGCCGGTACTAGGCTATATGGAAAGGCCACCAAAAACTGGCCTGGCCGCTTGAGGACGGTTAAGGACGCTTAAATGGGGCTACCCGCTGCAGTGGAAATGCGCCATTAGTCAGTACTTCTACTTTCACCAGAGTATTTTTAAACACGAGTATCTGTACTTATACTTGAGTAAAGGATGTGTGTACTTTTGTCATCTCTGGGTTGTGATCTAAGGAGCAGAATTTGGCAGGAAGGACACTGACCTCTGTGCGTCTCCCTCAGTGATGACAGCACCACCGTGGCCCACTCCTGCGCCTCCACCTCGCAGCGGAAGTTGAAGCTGATGCGGTCATGAGGAGGCGCCGCCAGACTCAGCTCGTGGCACTTTGGTGACTTCACCTCATACTTCACGCTCCTCAGATCAAACTCTGTGATGGTCTGGGAAATGAAGAAAGGAAAGCAAGAATGAGACGAGATGAGGTAGGAACAATTTATGAAGGTTAATGAATCCCCAAGGTTCAAAGAGTGGCAATTATGTTGAGGTTATGCATGTTACTCTGAATATATGTAAGTGAAATAGGATGTTATGCCATGTCGAGGGCCTTTCTAATAGAGGGAAACATAAAACCATTGTTGTTTAAGTCATATGTATGTTGCAAATCTTATAAATAAATGTGCTGAATCAAATCCACCACAATATTTAGGTTTTATAAACAAGCCAAATCATGTTGGAAACTACAGCCTTAGACAGTTCCCATCAACATTTGGTTTTATTTCACAATATTTCCACACACCATATTTGTGGGATGTTTTACCAAAAGTACTAAAGCCTAAATGTAGAAATACTCTTAGGTAAGTCCTGAATTCAATGTGTTAGCCAACTACAAAAGTGTAAACATCTATATAGTTAAGAGTAACACAAATAAAAGTACTTATTATGCAGAATCTCCAATTTCCACATTTGGGATCAATAAAGTACATATCTAATCTAAATAAACTTAACATGTAGTATAAAAAACACAATATTGACCTCTGACAGATGTAGTGGAGTAGAAGTAAAAGGTAGCATTACATTTCAATGCTGAAGTAAAGTACAAGGACTTCAAAATTGTTCCTTACTTGAGTGTATAGTGTTACATATGTCCCTGAACTCACCACGCTGCGGCCGACCCCCCCCGCTCTCCTGCTGGAGCGACAGCCGGAATTCCCCGGACTTCCCCGGGTCCATGCTGAGCTGCAGGCGGAGAGACATGTCTCCTGCCCCGGGGAGACACAGGGGCCGGATCCCGGAGTGACACACCGACACCCGGACCGACGCGAGGACGGTGTGGCAACCGGTCTGAGGGTGCTGGGCCCCGGCATGGAGACCCTGGAGGGCGGGGGTCTGGCCCTGGGTCTGGCCCTGGGTCTGTTGGTCCTGCGTAAAACCTGGTGCCCAACCGCCTGAAGTCAGAGACATCCTGGCTGTAGACACACAGGGTCCGGGTGGTTCAGCCTGTCGATGGTTGCCCTTTTAACGACATTTTTGTCAACATTTCATATCCACACTCACAACAGGAAGCAAAGTATCCGTGACGTCTCTGTCAGCTGTTCCTTCCGAAGCTCAAAGGTTTCTCTTCCTTCCTTTCGGCTTTATTTAGTGTTTCGTTTCGCTTTAACAGTATTTCTCGGGGTATTCTACACCTGTAAACATGGAGGTTATCAACAGTAGTTTCACTCACACACTCACTGGTGTTGTTTGTGCGTAAAGGCTTTCACTTCCCACTGCGCATGCGTCGTGGGCTGACGTCAACTCTTGTAATATTCATGAGGGCATGACCCTGATCACAGGTGGAAGAAGTACTCAGATATTTAAATACAAGGAGTAATACCTACTTCTACCACATTGTAGAAATACTCTAACACAAGTTAGTGCAAAAAAATAAGCATCAAAATATAATTAAAATACTTTCTATTCATTATGCGGAATGGCCATTTCCCCCAAGATCATGCATCACTTATTTATAGTAAGTGATGCATAAGTGTGTATATCATTTTAATTTTGCAGCAGTTAAAGGTGGAGCTAATGACTTTTTATACTTCCAAGGTGTTTTAACCCATAATATTACATCATAGTTTATTAGTTGATTAATATTTTGCATTTAATAATATTGACCTGCAACAAACTAGTAGGCTGAATAACACTAACACATATATGTAGAGTAAAAAGGTACAATATTGGCTTCCACATTGTAGTGATAAAGTGGTTTAAATTAGCATTAATTTGCATTAAAACTTCATTTTAGGCAGGTATGTTGTTGTGTACATATTTTACCACAAGAGGGCAGCAAAGCCAAAGTCTTCTCACTTCCCTACCTAAAGATTTAGCTGACATTTGATATTTATATTATGTTTTTAATTACGTGTGTTGTATACATGAGTATTTCTATAATCTAATGTGTCCTACATATTCAATACATTTAAAAAAGCTATACTTTATTATTAAAACACAGTTATACTTAATTTAGACAACTGTAATTTACTAGTACGTTGATCCAGGTCGGAGCAGGGTCTTCTCACCTGCACAGTACTAGTTAAAGTAGCAGACCTGTGTGCCGTGAGAGATCCTCTTTCACTCTGTTTCATTATCTTTGAAAAGGTGACAAAAAGCCATGGTGTCGTTTCATTCTGTCGTGAACATGGCCTTATTCACAAGCAGCTCATTTTGACCTGTGGCCGGTTGTTGTTCCTGACAACATTAATGATGGCTGCATTATATTCAGGTGTGATTGGAAAGTCATTGAGTCATTTATTAAGTTAGGTTTTTAAACTTGTGTTTTTATTTTCGTAACAGTTATGAGGTGAGACTCGAACCCACAATCCACAGCTTCGGAGGCTGGTGTCCATTAGGCAATCAATCACTTTCTTGGTGGATTTTGGTCCATCATTCAATTATTTATACACACAGGAGATTTAATGAATACTTATCAACCCTAAAAAACACAAGACAAACCTGTATTTGTACCTGTAGGGAAATGCAGGTGTCAAAGTAGCTACAATACTACGATTAAAAACACAATTACAGGTACTAAAAACTAGTAAACATGCAATCTAAATGCTTTTTATTTGAGTTCTAAATGAAATCCTTTGCCAACAGGAAACCCTAAAAGAGACGTCCCTGCTGGCTGACTAAAAAAGAGGGTCACCCAAACATGGTCAGTGAACGTCTCATCCCACACACTCTGTGGGTTTTTACGAGGTAGATAACAAAATATACTGTAGCACGTACAGGGAATGATTTAGACCTCACAGCTCGGCCGGAATAAGATGTTAATCATTCTGCCTGCAGGGCTTTTCTCAATCAATGCCTCATTCATCACAACCCTGTCCTGCAAGATAAGGAAGCATCTTTGGAGGTTTTTCTTTCTACAAATGAAACACCTTCACTGAGTTGCTTTTTATAGATATATCAGTCACAATTCCTTTTTGTTCACAAAGTGTAATGAAGCAGGAGAGCGTCGCTGCCCCCCTGCTGTGAGGCATTGATGATCCTCTGAGAGCACGAAGCCTTTCAAACTGTTCTGATGAGAGCGTGACGACATGGTGACACGTCAGAGGCGGCGTTATTACAAAAAGGGCAAATCTTGAAATGTGGACAACGTTGAGGTTTATTTTAAAATCAAAAACAATGATTCAGTGACATTAGAGCAGGAGGTTTACGCAGCCATATGCACAGGATACAAACAATATTGCAATTGAGTTTGTTTTCACGGAAGAGGATCAGCGCCACATGTGAAAATTATAAAAAGTATTTCTTTGAATTAGAATTCTGAGACATCAAGTGGCTTCACCTTAACACATTTCTGAGGTGGCGTTATAATATTAAAGACCAACATATGGGAAAGCATGTGTTTTTCTTTATCAAATATGGTGAATTTATAACAGAGATTATTCAAGAACCATATGCATAAACACAGGTTTAGGATGAATATAACCATATTCTTATTCATATTGTTTTTAGGGAAGACCATGGAGAAAAATACATTTGTTCTGTAAAGTCAGAGTTCAACCAAACTCAAAAACATTTCTGAGGTATCATTATGCAATCTTGAAGGCAACATGTTGGACAATGTGGACCAAAGTGTATTCTTAATAAATGTTATGAAGGACCCAAATGCAGCACTCGAGAAACCACGGAGTATTGGTAATGTACTTCGTTGGTAATAATACCAGAGCAGAGGAATACCGGATGATGTACAGGCAAACGAACCAGAGGACAGCGGGCAGAAGGTGAGTCAGGGCCGGGCAGAGGGTCAGGGAGCAGGCGAGGCAGGATAGTCCAAGGACAGGCAGGGTCAGGGAGCAGGCGAGGCAGGATAGTCCAAGGACAGGCAGGGTTAGGGAAGCAGGCGAGGCGGTCAGCGTAGGTAAGGCAGGGTTAGGGAGCAGAGCGAGGCCAGGATAGTCCAAGGACAGGCAGGGTTAGGGAGCAGGCGAGGCAGGATAGTCCAAGGACAGGCAGGTTAGGGAGGCAGGCGAGGCAGGATAGTCCAAGGACAGGCAGGGTTAGGGAGCAGGCGAGGCAGGATAGTCCAAGGACAGGCAGGGTTAGGAGCAGGCGAGGCAGGATAGTCCAAGACAGGCAGGGGTCAGGGAGCAGGCGAGGCGGGGTCAGCGTAGGTACAGGCAGGGTACGGGAGCAGGCGAGGCGGGTCGGCGTAGGTACCAGCAGGGTTAGGGAGCAGGCGAGGCAGGATAGTCCAAGGACAGGCAGGGTCAGGGAGCAGGCGAGGCGGTCAGCGTAGGTACAGGCAGGGTCAGGGAGCAGGCGAGGCGGTCAGCGTAGGTACAGGCAGGGTTAGGGAGCAGGCGAGGCGGTCAGCGTAGGTACAGGCAGGGTCAGGGAGCAGGCGAGGCGGTCAGCGTAGGTACAGGCAGGGTCAGGGAGCAGGCGAGGCAGGATAGTCCAAGGACAGGCAGGGTCAGAACCGGGTAAGCAATCTGATAACAAACGCGTGAAAGACATGAAGGCAAAGTAGGATCTGGCAACGGGTGTGTGTCTGGTGAGGGTTTAAATACTGGCAGTAAAGCTAATGGAAGCAGAAGAGTAAGAGAGTGAGCAAAAACGTGTGTGTGGTTAACAGGTGAGACAGGTGAATGGAAAACTACTGGTGAATGATGGAGCAGACTGTGACAATAAATCAAATATGGTGATTTATTGAGTTTAATCATTTTATTTTACATATGGCCTTGAATAATCATTGCTTATTCAAGGCCATATGTAAAATAAAATGATTTCATTTTAAGGAGGAGATTTAGGGCGACTCTGTACCGTCAGACAAAGAGCTCAAAGTCTTGTTTTTACATGTGGCCTTCATCCTCTTAACCCTCCTGTTGTCCTCGGGTCAAATCTGACCGATTTATTACTTTCATCAATCATAACTTTTTTGTTTTACATTCGATTGCATTAAGGCTTTATGATGTCCTTCACAGTAGACATTTGAACATATACAATTGCTGATCACCACTTTCATTGCATTCTGGATGATTTAGTCAACTTTGTAACACCATGGTGCTCCCTAACCCATGGTGCTCCCTAACCCATGGTGCTCCCTAACCCATGGTGCTCCCTAACCCATAAAGAAAAGGAATTAGTAACCATCCGGATCAGATCTCAGATCACACACACACACACACACACACACACACACACACACACACACACACACACACACACACACACACACACACACACACACACACACACACACACACACACACACACACACACACACACACACACACACACACACACAACACACACACACACACACACCATGTATACATCACTTCAGGGGACATTACATTGATTTACATGCATTTCCTGGAGACTTATCCTAACCTTAACCATAACCAACACATGCCTAACCCTTACCCTTAACCTAACCAAGTCTTCACCCTAAAAATAATGATTCCCCTCATGGGCACCTCCATTTTGTCCCCATAAGGCAGGCGGGTCCCCACACGTGACTATGTAAACAGATTTAGGTCCCCACAAGTATAGTAATGCTAGGCCACACACACACACACACACACACACACACCACACACACGCGCACATACACACACACCACACACACGCACGCACACACGTCCCGCTCTTATGTGCCCATCCCCCCACATGGATCACACCTGGCACACACAATACATGTTCAGTGTCTATTCTTTGTATATTTACTGCAGTTGTTCATGTATACCAGTAGTCTGATACACTATGTACAGTTTGAAAGGGTGTTAAATGAAATTTGGTGATTAATGGCTTTTGTGTTAATGTAATAGCAGTTAAAACAGGACCGGAGAAATGTTACCGCGAACACCAAAGTAAGGGGGGGAAAACGAAGACAATCGGAGGGTTAAAACATGTTAACTCTATGTGTCTCTTCCTCTGGTTTTCAAATAAAGGCTCCCTATCATAGCTCAGCCTCGTTAGCTCCGTTAGATGAGGATTCGTCCGTGTTGGGGTGTGATTACACTTCCGCAGGTATTCCTCTCCTCATTATTACTCTCCCACAGGCAGGCTGTGTCTCAGAGCATCTGATTGATTGATTGATTGAAAAGTTTATTAACAGCTTGTATATTGGGTACAGTACAGTACAGCTCAAAACATACAATTGTTAAGGGGATGCAGACCAGAGAAAGACTTTCGTCTTGTTTACATCAGGGTCCCCCATTTCCAATTCATCATGTCATATAAGACATATTTGACATACAGATGGCTTATTTACAATTTACATACAGGTGGTTTTTTACATACAGATTGCTTATTTACAATTTTCATTTTAGATTTCGTTCTAATACATCCTAACCGGACATTTAAGACATACCAAGTCTACAGATATACAGTTAGTAACAGAGTCTAAAATGCGAGTATATACATAGATGGGGGGGGGGGGGGAAGCTGTCCATTGAACGACAGGTTGAGATTTGTACCATTACCGGGGCCAGTTTTGCAATGCTCTCCCCCGAAGGTGCTCTTTAAGAGAGGTTTTGAAGGTAAGTATAGTTTTACTTTCCTTTACAGTTGTGGGAAGAGCGTTCCACCTTGATGTGGCATAATTGCGAAACGTGTATTCCCCCTTTTTTGTGCCAAATCTGGGTTTCACATGATTTGTGGAGCTCCCTCTGGTGTTATGATCATGGTATTCCTTGACCTTTGGGAAGAATTTTGACATGTACATGGGTACCATAGAGGTGTAGTGGATCTTGTAGACCAGGCCCATTGCAAGTAGCTGTACTCTGTCGTCTACTCTAAGCCATCCTAGGTTGTCAAAGTGGGCAGAGGTGAGGTGGGTTCTAGATGAAAGGTCAAGCAGTAGTCTGACCAGTTTATTTTGCGATGTTTGAAGTTTTATTTGTAGCGCCTTGGAGGTGCTATGGTACCATGACGTGCAAGCATAGTCATAGTACCCTTGAATGAGTGCTCCTGCCAGAGTTTTCAGGGTGTTTTTGTTTACCAGAGAGGAGATCCGGTATAGGAATCTAGTTCTTTGATTGACTTTTTTTATTACATTGGATGCCATTTTGTCACAGGAGAGGTTTGCCTCAAGAATAGATCCTAGGTATGTAATTTCCTTCTTACTTGTGACAATAATGTCGCCCACTGCAACTGAGAAGTCGTCGGATTTGCTGAGATTATGTTTCGAACCGAAGAGAATGGACTCTGTTTTACCCAGGTGTAATGATAATTTATTATCGGCGAGCCAGGTGCAGATTCTGCCGAGCTCGGAGCTGAGGGTTTTTTCAACCTGCAACCTGTTCCTGTCAGAGACCAGCAGGGCTGAGTCGTCCGCGAACAGGAACAAGTTGCAGTCACATGCTGATGACATGTCATTTACATAAATTAGGAACAGTAATGGACCTAATATGCTTCCTTGTGGAACACCACAGCTCACTGGGAGGGGGGGGGACAGAGTACCGTTTACCTCCACCATCTGTTCTCTCCCCTCCAGGTAGGATTGCATCCAGCTCACCGATAGTTTATCAAAACACACATCTGATCTCAGACCATGACTACATTATGTTCGCCCTAATGTGGAGGAGACCAGAGCGCTGCTGGAGGGTACACATACTCACATGGTCACACACAGACCACCGTCACATGCTACGCAGGACAATCATATAATTGCACAATGCGTTATTAGAGTTTCATTATATCGTACATGGCAAAAGTTTATTTTAACACAGAATGTTCCATTTCGAGTCCAAATGTTCATTGAAACACGATGCAGGTTGTCACTATTATGTTGAAAAGTCACATGTATCTCCAGTAGAGCTGTGACTATTCATTCATATTTACATCAATCACTGGATTATTTCCTTGATTAATTAATTGGTTTAAAAAATAACCAAAAATAATAAAACATCTTTGACATTTTCCTTTGTCTGGCGAGCGCTCCAATGCAAACAAATATTCAATTGTTTACCAAATGAGTAAAAGGTTGAATATGTTATCTAAACTATTATTTTTTTGCTCTACATGTGCTTCAGGATCCGTAAACTTCGTTTTGCAAATAAGCTTTCCTCCAATAAATCAGAAAGAAAATGTATTTTATCTTCAGGTTTCTTTTTTGAGCAGCTCTGTCACAAAGCATCGAGACCTCTCTCGACCCCGAGGTGACTTTACACCTGAACACACGAGTGAGAGGAGTTATCCACACCTTGAGTTCTCACTTAGGATGTATCAGTATGCTTGACATATGAATTGATACACACCTACAGTAGTTTCACCTCTTATTGCTTGTGGTGCAGTGGGTTGGTGTTGGGATCAGGGGGTCACAGGTTCAAACCCCACTGCAGTCAGCATGTCGTTGTGTCCCTGGGCAAGACACTTCACCCCAAATTGCTCCTGTGGGGATTGTCCACTGTACTCAGTATGTAAGTCGTTTTGGATAAAAGCGTCTAACAAGTGACATATAATGTAATATACTATATAGGGCGGCTGTGGCTCTGTGGTTAGTGTGCTGGACTTCGAATCAGGGGGTACCATGTTCGAGTCCCACTGCAGTCAGCATGTCGTTGTGTCCCTGAGACACTTCACCCCAAATTGCTCCTGTGGGGATTGTCCACAGTACTGAATGTATGAAATCGCTTTGGATAAAAGCGTCTAACAAATGACGTCTAATGTTTTTTTTTTTGCTTCCTGAATCAGTTTGATAGTGGCTTTAACTGTCACTGATTTCCATCTGCAACACAAACGTCATTTAAATCTTTCTCTGTCACTCTGTCCTCAGTGAAACACAACCGCTTTTACCTTGTTTTTGATAAAAGACATTGTTTTAAAGGTTCAGTTTTTGCTTTCATAATCTTTAGAGTTTATTTCAAAGAAGAAACTTCTTGCAATAGCTGTGATGAAGCTGGTCGATGAAAACCTCCCACCAGTCCCAGTCTCTGTCTGACAGACCTCCTTCAGGAGGGGGACTAATTTAAAGTTGTCCACATGTCACCGACTCCCTGATGGACCGCTCTGCTGCGTGAGGAACGTCAGAAAAACACCAGGAAACAGACCTGCTGTCTCCAAGAGAGGAGGGGGAGTTTAAAGAGTGGGAGGAGGGGAGGGAGGGGGGGGGTCGTGGTGTGTGACGGATGTTCTTGATTCATCATCCAACAACAACAGGAGCAGCGTGGGTATAAAAGGTGGAGAACACCTGCTCAACAACAACAACGACTGCAGACCTCCGCCAGCTGACTTCCGCCTGCCTCCAAAGTCCAGGGTAAGAGACAATATATATATATATATTTAACATGCAAGAGAATGAGGACAACATACGTTATTATTATTAGGTCTTTCTATCATTTGATGGTCTTAATGTTAATTTTTAACAATTTTTGGAAGAAATTAAAATGATCTACTGAACATAGGGAATTCAAACCCTCACTCATCGGTCAGTAAGAAATAAAATGATAGTAAAAAAAGTAGAGATACTCCTCGAGGTGATTATGTTAACTGATTAAACAGTTACATCTTTACTTATCATATAATATTGATAGAGTTTATAATGGTCACTATAATGTGTTTTTAAATTCATTAAAATCTTACTGTATGAATGTTTTGTGCTTAGTGTATCTATTATATAAAGAGGTACAGCTTTTATATTAGATTGAAATGTAGACCTTTTAATAATCTAACCTCACATGTTATTTTTGATGTCAGATTGTAAGAGTTTATGTTTCTTTGGACTCTCTTTTACAAAGGTTCAAAGGCTTTTTTCTCGCATGCACAAAAGCTACAGCGTAGACTCTTCAAACAGTGGAACGCAGTATTTACTTAAGACATGAAATAGTGCAAGAAAATAGTGCTTTGATTACAGAAAAATGCAGGAATAAGTAGACTATGCACATATCAAATAGAGCAAGGTAAACAGAGTAGAAATTAAATCCTGTACAGTGGAATACATATTAGTCTTTTTTGTGTCTAATAAAAGGTGAGTGTGTTTTTGTCAATAAAAATGAAATGCTTAAAACATGAAGAAAAGACATGAAATAGAACAAGGAAATTACAAAACGGTGCGAGTTAAAAGCAGTAACAAGTAGACTAAGATAAATTAATTCATCCAGTGAAATAAATACTAGTCCTTCTTGTTTTCAGTGTCCAATAGAAGTCGAGTGTGCTTCACTGACCAGCGTCTCTCCGCGCTCTTTAGTGCTGTTTCTATCTGTCACACAAAGAGGCACAGCTTTTCTATTACATTTGAAAGTGCATTTTAAATGATTGTTTTTGATATCTAATTGTATGACTGTAGTCTTTGTTAGAGCTTTCATCAGGATGTAATGTTCAAAAGCTTTACTGTCATGTGCAAGATAGCAACAGCGTAACAAGGACATACAATAAGCTTAAAACATGAAGGAAATACATGAAATAGAGCAAGGAAATTACAAAACGGTGCGAGTTCAAAGCAGAAATAAGTAGACTAAGATAAATGAATTCATCCAGTGAAATAAATACTAGTCCTTCTTGTTTTCAGTGTCTAATAAAAGTCGAGTGTGCTTCACTGACCAGCGTCTCTCCGTGCTCTTTAATGCTGTTCTTATCAATTACACCGAGAGGTACAGCTTCTCTATTCAAATGAAAAGCGCGTGTTAAACGATTTTACCTGATATAAATCTATTTTTTTAACTCTAACGGGACACGTAGGGCTCTTTTTAACATAGATGTAAGACTGAATTTGCTTTATTGTCACATGCAAAATAGCAACAGCGTAGTTGTTGCCAATAAACATCTTAAGTCCCAACTGTGCACCATTCAATATACAAAATACATCAAATAGTGACAGTGACAGTGTGGTGACAAGGGACACTAATTAAAAAGCAGTAACAAGTAGACTAAGCTGAATGAATTCTTACAGTGAAATAAATACTAGTCCTTCTTGTTTTCAGTGTCTAATAAAAGGCGAGTGTGCTTCACTGACCAGCGTCTCTCCGCGCTCTTTATTGCTGCTTTATCATCTGTCATACAAAGAGGCACAGCTTCTCTAACGCTTTTTAGGATGTAATATTCAAAAGATTTACTGTCATGCGCAAGATAGCGACACCAAAGTTGTTGGAAATAAATAGGACATACAAAATGTTTAAAACATGAAGAGAGGCGTTCAAGAAAATAGTGCAAATTACAAAAAGCAGTAATAAGTAGATTAAGCTAAATGAATTCATCCAGTGAAATACATACTAGTCCTTCTTGTTTTCAGTGTGTATTTAAAGGTGAGTGTTTGCTTCACTAACCAGCGTCTCTCTGCAGTGCCTTCATCACTCCTCCTCGTCCTCCTGATGCATCCTGGGAGATCAGCTGACGACTGGCTGCCTGCAGCTCTCTCTCTGCTGCTCCTCTCCTGCAGCTTCAGCCGCGCTCACAGCTCCACGCTGGAGCACGACTTCCCCCTCGTGCACAATGTCGACAACAGAAGTAAGACTTTGTTTGTTTTCTATTACCTGCAGAGATTCAAAAGGTGGAGGTGTGTGTTTATGGTCTGCTTTTGGTTGTCTTTAGTGACCTTTTGAAGACACCTGAAAATATATCTTTCTTCGTATCAAATTAGTTTTTCTGTACTTTTGAAATGTACATTGTTTAACACTGTGAGGAATATCTAAATCCACTATTTGTGGTACACTAGTCATTTCTTTTTATTAACTAAGTGTATTATTTTTGTCTCAATTGACTTTTAAAAGATTTAAATTAACTAACTATAACTATTCTATGTATGTTTAGACTTTATGATGCTGCTGTAATACACTAAGGGGGGTCAAACTCAAATACACAGTGGGCCAAAATAAAAAAATGGGTACTAGTCGAGGGCCGGACTGGTTCAATGTTTATTGCAGAACTTATTGAAATGAACTTATTGCACATATTAAACCTGGAACTAACAAAGCTTCAATTATTGCCTATAAAAACAACATTAAACATTAAGTTGCATTCATTTCTTACGGCTCTATCTGCAGCTTTTCCAGAGTCATTTATTATGAGTACATTTTCCCACAGGCCAACAACAGCTTCAACAAAACTATTTCCCTCAAAGAGAAAACCAAACATGCCCTGTTGTCGTGAGAGAGAAAAGGCAGAAGGAAACATCCATTGAAACTCAGTGCTGCTCTGTGATGCTAGTTCAAGCCAGATACTTGGCATCTCATCTTGGGTGCAAGTTCGGGACCCCCTTGAAAACGAGATGGTGCATCTCAAGGGGTTTATCCCAATGAATACAATTTCTATATATATAAGTTCATCAATGTTTGTGCTCAGGCTCTGAGCTGAGGAGACCCTCAGGATGGAGTGAAGGTGTGCGTGCAATATACAGGAGGGCCAGATCTAATAGGAATTAGAAATGAAATCCACCAAGGGCCGGATTTGGCCCCCGGGCCTTGAGTTTGACACATGTGACCTAATCTATTTGTATGAGTAGTTTGTACAACACAATGACTTCTAATGAATGAATTCAACATATAGTTTAAGGAGATATGCGCACAGATTTTATTCAGCTCAAAATTAGAAACACCATCAATCCATTAATTTGTGGAACACTTGTTTTTCATGTGATCTACTTGGTGTATTATTTTGTCACAATTTACAAAATACTGCACGATAATTCCTGTTATTTTGTTTTACTACACTGAACAAAAATATAAACGCAACACTTTTGTTTTTGCTCCCATTTTTCATGAGATGAACTCAAAGATCTAAAACATTTTCTATATACACAAAATAACCATTTCTCTCAAATATTGTTCACAAATCTGAACAAATCTGTGATAGTGAGCACTTCTCCTTTGCCGAGATAATCCATCCCACCTCACAGGTGTGGCATATCAAGATGCTGATTAGACAGCATGATTATTGCACAGGTGTGCCTTAGGCTGGCCACAATAAAAGGCCACTCTGAAACGTGCAGTTTTGCTTTATTGGGGGGGTCCGAAAACCAGTCAGTATCTCATGTGAGGGGTAGGATTAGGGGTAGGGGTAGGGTAATGTTGTGAATCGAGTGGCCTGTGTTCGTCGTCCATAACATACGCCTGCCCATACCATAACCCCACCACCACCATGGGCCACTCGATTCACAACATTACCCTAACCCTAACCCTACCCCTAATCCTACCCCTCACACCAGATACTGACTGGTTTTCGGACCCCCCCAGACCCCCCCAATAAAGCAAAACTGCACGTTTCAGAGTGGCCTTTTATTGTGGCCAGCCTAAGGCACACCTGTGCAATAATCATGCTGTCTAATCAGCATCTTGATATGCCACACCTGTGAGGTGGGATGGATTATCTCGGCAAAGGAGAAGTGCTCACTATCACAGATTCTTTCAGATTTGTGAACAATATTTGAGAGAAATGGTTATTTTGTGTTTATAGAAAAGGTTTTAGATCTTTGAGTTCATCTCATGAAAAATGGGAGCAAAAACAAAAGTGTTGCTTTTATATTTTTGTTCAGTGTATATGTTGAATGATCTACTTTAGATTACATAACGGTTAAAGGGTGTATGTGTCATTGTTATTATATTATTTATTTTATATACTGTGCATTTAGAGAAGAAAGACCCTATATAGACAATTAAAGGAACAACGTCTGATTGTATGGATTAGTCTTTTAGGTTACAACATCGATTCGTTGACTTTAAAGTGTATTATAATCATACTGTTGACCGGCGGTAATGTTTTTAAACTTGTATTTCAGCAGTTTCTACAGTTATTTCAGCAATCATATCTATTTGATTCATAGATCATTTAATAAGAGGATGAAAATGATAATACTTCAGCCGGAAATATTGATTGTATAGAAGTAGAACTGAAGTACGTATTGTGAAGACAGGATATATAATAATAATACACTTTATTTGTATAGCGCAAAGCAGCCCAAAGTGCTCTACAGAAAACACAACAACAATATTAAAATAAATACAGAACAAGATAAAACATCAACAGGGATCCTAATGAAATTCCATTGAAGTAAAGCTGACAAGATATAACATAAGAAGAAAAGACACAAAGGGAGGGTTGTGTGTGAATGTGTGCAAAGGTAAAGAGTGTGTGTAATTGCACAGAAAGGAGAGCACTTTAGTCTCTATACTTTCCCCCCTAGTGAACTCTCTTAGTATTGCACCATACTCTGCTGACCCCTCTGTTCCTGTGTGTCCTCCAGGTCCAGAGATCGACCCCTTCTGGTACGTGGGCCGCGGGGTGAGACCCATCGGGCGCTTTGGGAAGCGGCACAGCGGCCTGCAGGGCAGCGGGGGGGCGACGCCGGGCCTCAGGACGTTATCTCTGCTGCTGCTGCACAGCCTCAGGAACAAAGAGAGTCTGGAGGAGGAAGACAGGGACTGGTTACCCTGACACAGCACGCTTCATTTTGTATCTGAGCTCAAATACTGCTCTCACTCGTACCTGTGTCTCTCTCTGGTGTCTGGGACCAGGCCTTGGTGGATGATCCTTCATATCTGTACATAAAAATGCATCTATATTGATTAATAAACGAGGATGTTGTGATTATATCTGTGCGTCACTTTGCCTTCACGATAACATATATAAAAACAGTCGTTAAAAATAAGGAATTTCACTTATAACTGTTAGATAATAATCCTGTTTACTAATAAATAGGATTGCTATATGTTTGGTTTTATTAACAGTTAAATATTTCACATGTTATATATATGTGATATATATTGAATACTTTATCAACGGTTACAAATATGTTTTTGGTTCATCTATCTATATAATGTTTCATAGAAGTTTTACAAACAATTTCCCTTAAGGTTTGCAAATCATTTGGTTGTCATTTAAAATACTTAATATAATATCACTTATAAGAAAACAATATTATTTCATTAAGTAAAACAACTGTGGACTAAAGTGTGTTCACCATTAATAGTATTGGTTATTATAAAGTGTTACCACCGTCCTGTATTTGCATAACAACGATTCCTTTAGAATAAGACATCTTTTTAAGTTTGCAAATTTTATTCATTTCATAATACATGTTTGTCTGCACATAGAGAATCTGTATTTTTTGCTTGATAACATTTCCTCCAACATGTCATATGGAGCGCATCGAACGATTGCACATAAAGTGAGAGTCCTACATCTCACTGGGTTTAAAGTGAGATCTGTCTGCAGCTCTGAGGGAATCTCATCATTTATCCCGAGACACCGTTACAGTAAATTCGACTTCCTGCGTGAACCCCGCCCTCAGGACAATATACACAGTCTCTTGCACACAACACTGAAAGATTGGTCAACTATGATTGGGCAATACACATTATTCTATATCATATCCATCTTTTCACACATATACATATATTAATAAATTCTGTGATGAGATAATATTATTTTTTACATTAGAAAAATACAGGACACTGATGATTGGACCCTTGTGGCTGTGCTTCTCATGGGACATTTTCACATCAAATTTCGATAAAACCAGAAACATGCTTTTATACATCGACACCTCCGGAGAACAAGATTGACAAAAGTACAGGATCAATGTGCAAAACCCGAGAAGTGAAAGGCTGGGATGAAGAGGGGCAGAGCATTCATTCAGAGGATCATCACACCTTTTTCAGTTCAAGCAGTCCATCAGCAAAAACAACTCTGCAGAAACGTTGACAACCGTATGCATGGCTAACTGAGAACCTGACTAATGCAAGTGGTCACAGAGTAAAGAAAAACAACCAAAACTGAAAGGCAGTATTCTCAAATCTAGTGTTTAAGGAGTACAAATACAGTGTGAATCAGTGTGTACTAGCCGCTCCAAAGATGCCTGTTGACACCCGTGTTTTTGCACCATTTACCGTCGTCATTACTGGCAGAATATCAAATGGTAAATGCAGGCGTACACTGAAAGCACTTTGAGTCATGAGAGTGAGATAGAACCGACTGAGGAGGGCTCCTTTGAGGAGAGAATAAAGCCTTCAATGTGCAATAGTACTTATATCAGTGATGTTGCATAAAAACGTTCAGTAAGTACAAAAATAAATTGCTTGTAACAAAATCATGGTTTCATGGCATTTGTTTTATAGCCCATGTGACTTCATTATGTAAAAAATCTTTGCAAGATTGAATGAATGCAACACAAAAGTGTGGACATGACACAGCGAAAGGTTAAAACATGAAAATACCTTTTTGTTTAAAAAAAAAAGGCCACAACGTTTGAAAGTAAACAAAGAAAATGACTTTAGGTTGAAGAATACTGAACAGGGGGAAAGTTGGCAAACCTGAATGTCAGACCTGAGTTGAGTTTGTCTGACATTCAGACATTAGTTTCACTCGTTTCAATGTAAAAGCATAGCCCTCATATTAAGGCTGTGTCTGTTTCTACGTAGCTTTAATAATACTTGGGAAAGCACTTCATCGACATGTATTTGAAGAATAGTTGGACAATATGGGAAATACACCTTTTCATTTTATGAGAATCGCGTGTCTGCCTTGTTATGAAGTTAATTAGCTGGTTAGCTTAGCTTAGCTTAAAGACTGAAATTCAGGAGAAACATTTAGACTGGCTCTGTTTGACGGAACAATATATGTCTATCTTTTGTACAGTTAAAACAAAAATATAAATCTCTATATGTATGTAAAGGTGAACTTTAGAAGTGCTGCTAATATCATAACCTTTGTGAAGTCAAGCTAGCAAGCTAGAGTCTTTATGCTAAACTAAGCTAACAGGCTTCATATGAACTGTACACACTCTACTGTAGTTTTGATCTTTGTCTGTAAATCTAGTCAAAACGTTATTTCCCGATACCAATCATGTAACTACTTTATTTGAGGCCGTAAAGAAGGGATAAATGATTTCTCAAATGTGCTTTGTTTTTCCTTTTTAGCCCTCTAGTTAGGAAGGAAGGACGAAAACAGTCGTGGCCCTGATACCTTGTGTGTCTAACCCTTATTTTCTGGCAAGTGCATGAATTATTAAAATGGTTAACATATCAAAGGTGTTACAATCATTCCCCAATGAGGATTACCATCTGATAGCTGTGTGTGGAAATCATCCATAAAAGCTCTGAGGGGGGGGCTTAGAGTTTGACATGTCACCTGTTGAGAAAGAGGATGCAGTATAAAACACTGGATCACAGAAAGTTTCACTTGATTTTTCCACGTCTTCATTGTACAGTAAATCACAATACTCTTGCAAACAGATAGAAAAGGGGAATGAGAGTTATTCTTGTCTGTACAGATGTTATTTTTCTGTAGGGCCATGAGGATTGTTTGCAGATATTTAAGGCAGACTGTCGAGTTATCCTTGCTTTATGTTACGAAGTGAAGAAATGGACGATTCATGGGAAAGACGAAAGAGCCAGTTGTCTCTTTTGCCGGTTTTTGACTGACAGGGTACCGACAGAGTGCTTTTAGGGTCACAGGGCAGGTGTTGGCCCCTGATTGGCCTGGAGGCGGGCACTGGGTCAAGGCACTGGATGAGAGGGGCCCGTCCCTGGGGCTCTGAAACCGCCCTGAGGGACTCCTTGTGCTGCTGACTGTCACTACGGCCGAAACACTTTCACCTGTTGCTCTGGCTCCAACTTCTCTGAAATTCAAAAGAAAAAACTGCATTTAATATACAATATGGTATTCCCAATGGCGATAAGACTGTTAAATACCTGAACCTTTGAGAGAACATCCATAATATTCATCTGTTTGCAACTTACATATACATATATCAATATTCCAAAGAATATTCTGCAGTATTTCTACTATATTCTATTTTATTTTGTATACTTGCACTATTATCTGTGTTGTTGTGTCGCACTGTTGGAGGAGCCTGGGACCTAAGATTTCTGTTGTCATAACTACACTATAGCTATGCACACATGACAATAAAAGCCTTGAATCCTTGGTACTTCCTGCCTGTGAGTTTGGTGGCATCCATTGCAGTCATTGCTGTCAGCTTCACTCGGATAGGGTTTTCTTTAATGTTCATAGTCCAGGACATTTTTATCAAAAGCCGAATTACCTTCAAAGGTCTCCTCCTTTCCCAAAACAAACACAGCCGGCGATTTAAACTGTTTGCATACTGAATAAAGCAGTTTAATGTTTAAAATGTGTGGTTCTCCAAGGCAGTTTGGCAGACAGAAGATGTACAGGCTGCGAGATAACAATAACGTTTCTCATCTTATTTATCGCTTAAGATCCAGACATCCAATAAAAAAGCTTTATTGGGTTAAAATGTATATTTAAAAGTACTAAAATCTATACGTTTTATTGTAAACAAATGTGGGTTCAAATTCATAATCTCGCAGACAACCGTAACGCTGGCAAATCTTCAAGTGGATACACTGCTTTTACCAAAGACCAAATGAAACGTAAATACAATTACAGATTTCTCTAGGTTTACTGAAAGAAGTAAACAACCAAATATATAACGGGGTCCAATTGTGTTATACTATTAATAACATATGATTCAGATGAACACATCAGACTTGTGTCTAAAAGTCACGACAGTCTTTACCAGTGATACATTTAGTGCATAGTGTATGATGGCCAGACTAAAAGGACACGTTAAGCTGGAACCAGCGATATGATTACATGTCTCGGTCATTGATTTTGCCCCATTGTCCATCGTGCTTTCTGGCTTTGGAGATGTGCTGAAAAAGCCACCCTGAATCAGAGCTATTGTGCGGATTCTGCTAAAGGGAAAATCGAGACAGACGAACAGAAAAAGGCCATTCACTGATATGAAAAAGGGAACCGACTTCTTGTAGGTTGATACAACAGCCTTACATCTAATGGATCTTTTCAGTTCCTTAGTCCCATTCGAGCAGATGTATTCACACATCCTTTCAGCCGCCAATGACAAAGCGTAAAATGTGTGATGTTAACTAAAGATGAATAAAAGTGCCTTTCGTTTCAATCCCCATCTGCAGCTGTTTCACACACACTGAGCGCACTGTCGAAGACACATTTAGCATTATCTATCCATGACTGGTACAGTGGAGGGTTCACTGTACAGAAGATAGAACATCAACGCAGTAAATGTATTCAACCATTTGGGTAATTTAGTCAACACAGCTCTGAAAAGTACTCCAGAAAAAGTATGTTTATTTCAATATAGTACTAGATGTTTCCAAATGTATGTATGCATGCAAATAGAGGAGTACAAAAACAAAATAATTCACATTTAAAAAGCAGGAATCAGATCATTTGTTGTGTGTTCTCTCACCAAGTAATCGATGGGTGAAAAAGCTGCCAATTAATCTCACAGTTGACAGGTAGGTGATTTTTGCAGCTTGTGTGCGCTACCGTTGTGCAGCGACCGTAAGAAATGCAGCAGTGATGGAGGACAGAATGTGATTTTTTTAAAAGACAAAGCCTAGGAGGGATCTTTTAGATGGCTTTGATGCAGTGAATAGAAGATCTCTTGTTACTGTGCAGCCTGCGGGCCAGAGGGAGAGCAATTAAGCTTTTGGGTTTGCAGCTGAGGAATCAGGCATTTAATCACCTTCAGTTACAACACAGCTCAACAAATAATTGTATTTCATATAGGTTTAGATTTGTCACAGTTATATATGTTATCTTATTGTTTACATGTTACCGAATGAATGTATGCATGCAAATAGTTTTTATATGTATGTACTGTGCAAAGCAAACCTTGTTAGGTACCTTTCAGTGGGGGGGCAGGGAGCTTCCTCCTCTGATGGCGTGATGAGTCCAGGGTTTGAGGCTGTAATCAGAGTACTGGTATTATACACCTCATCCAAATACTTTATGATAAAATGTTAAGACCATGGAGATATAGAACATGTTTGTGTGTTGGAGAGTCACTCGAGTTACCTTGGCCTTTGGCTTGAACTTGGAGAAATGATTGCAGACATTCACATTCAACCCAGCTGTTTTCAGAGCGGATATCCTCGCCTCGATGTTCGAAATCTGAAGAGGAGATACACACTTGAGGTGAATATCTGTTGCTATCTGTCTGCTTTGTGAATATGTATTTTAGTTTAGTTTTTATATATGCTTTTATCATAATATAAGTATCTCTGTTGAATATTGTTTTACTGATTGTATTTACCTGTTATTTGAAGTGAATTTTTGTTTTTAGGATGACTTTCAACATCTGTCCAGGGACTACAGACGAAAAATAGCCTGTTGGCTAACTCTGGCGCATTTACAGAAATGTCAATCAATTTATGCACTGTCCCTGTCAAATAAATATATATAAATAAAAAAATAAAAATAAATAAAATAAATGAATAGGACGAACATTTTCACTAAAAGACATCACCAAGAAACTTCCCCAGTTGATGACTTACATTCAGACAATTGCTTTTTGTAGTTCATGGTTTTTGAGATGTTATGTTTATATATGGGAATGAGGCATCATCTAATGCTAACTTTTGGTGAGATTAAGGGAAACCTACAGTCTCAAATAGACAACATTAGTATCATTAACACCTAATTTATTAATTTGCACTAGTCTGAAGGAAGACTTGTTATGGAGGAATAATTGAAAATGAACCAGTGCATGAAGAACAATGTCTAATCCTATAGTTTCTCGCCTTAAAAGCACAATTGAATACAACATAATTAGAAATGTTCTTTTAAATAAATTGTATTGCGTTGAAATGTCTGTGCATGTATGGTCCAAACCAAACTGCAGGACTCCTCCTCTCCAGTACCTGTATCTCAGAGTGCTGCACCTGGGCGGCAGCAGAGGCCACCTGGTCCTCCAGGAAGGACAGCTCTGTGTCGCTGGTGCCGCTCTGAATGCTGCGTGCGCACTCCTCCAGGTCCCCCAGCTCCCCCTCCAGGCCGTACACCTCACCTGCAGCCAGGTACACCTGCTCAGGGGAGAAGAGGAGAAGATTCAACGGTTTTATTGTCATATGCACAAAGCTACAGTGTAGAAATGGCAATGCAATTATTTTGAACTGAGCTCCTCCAACAATGCAACATATATAATAAAATACATATAAGTAAGTAGATTAAGCATTTAGGCCCAGTTCCAAACCGCCCCCTACACACAATAGATCCTGCAAACATTTACTGGTAAACTGACATTTAATATTGTCCTACAGATGTTAACAACTTCATGGTTGCCTCAGACTTTTTTACATTTAGGATCATATCCCCATGGCTAGTCTAGAAAAAGGTAAACGTGTGCATTTGATCGTACGGTTTTGTATATTTACGAGGACTGACAGAAAAACTGATTTAAAACAAATAAAGGATTACAAAACAAGATTTTTTGAGTTATGATGTATTCTTCTTTCTCCAAGAGATGCTGATTTGAAACCAAACCCAAAGCTTGCCGATGAATGTATACCCTCTAGCTCAGCGGTTCCCAACCTCTGGCCGCGTCCCCCTAGTGGTCCGCGAACGCTTTGCAAGTGGGCCGCCAAATAATTTGCAAAACATTATGATTTGTGTGGAAACAGTTCATTATTAAGATTTTTTTTTATTTGAACCTCCTTTCCTTTCTCTTTCTTGATCCTCCTTAGCAACGGTCATTACAGTCCTTGACAACGGTCTGTTCTACTGGATTAACAACGTGTCACATGTTCTGAATTGACCAATCAGAAGAACTTTTGAAAACGGTTGGGAACCGCTGTCCTAGCTGTGAGATTAAGAAGGTAGCCTCATTCTGCTGTGAGTGTTTGGGGCCTTAGTTTCAGATCACATTACTTTGATCATTTGGCGGTAAGATGCTTACGTTCTCCTCCATCTTGGTGAGCCTCTGGTCCAGCTGGCGGGTGTCGGCGCTGTTGGACACGGGGGGGGGCGCTGAGGGGCTCTGATTGGCTGAAGCTCTCTCCTCCTGCCTCTCCGATCAGCTCCTCTGTGGCGTTCAACACCTTCAGCACCTCCGTGGTGATGCTGCAGAGAGAGGCCGCCGAGTACTTCTGCTTCACCACACCACACACACACACACACACACACACACACACACACACACACACACACACACACACACACACACACACACACACACACACACACACACACACACACACACACACACACACACACACACACTCATCAGACGCAGTGATACTCTGAGAAACCTTTTAAGAGACGTTGAGAGCAAAATGAATCGATGCATATGTGGAGAAAAGTAGGCCACGACATAGATAGTGAAAAACATCTTTCAGGAAGCCAGGGGATTTTACAAAATACAATTAGGCAAACGATGATAGAAGGGGAGCAAATAAATGACATGTTGATTTTACATGGTTTTTAACACATCAGAAGCCCTATATGATGTCCTTCAAATAATCTTATCATGTCCCCCACTCAAATATATTTTGTTTATTGTCATAGCGGAGTACAAACATTAGAAAATTCACATTTAAAAAAGCAGGAATCAGACCATTTTTTACGTGTCGTTTTTTCACTTTTCACCATGTAATCGATTTGTGAAAAAGCTGCCAATTAATCTCATAGTTGATTTTTGCATTTCTAATCAGCAGCTCGAGTTATATAGACTCTTCTTGCACTATTTCAATTGTATTTGTATTCACTTGCACCTCTCAAAACATTCTATGTGTTGCACAGTGGAGGAGCCTGTGACCTACGTTTTTCATTGCCATATCTACACTAATGTGCACATTATAATAAAGCCTTGAATCTTGGAACCATTGTGCTGCTGGTCTTTAATCAGCTGTTGTGAGGTACGCAGGTGCAGAACAAAGAACTGGACGTGAGAAATGCAGCAGCGATGGAGGAGGACAGAAAGTGAGAAAGCTTTTAAGACAAAGCAGGAGGGATCTTTTATATCTGGAGGCTTTGATGCTTTAAAAAGACGTTGCAGTGAATAGAAGGTCTCGTGTTACTGTGTAGTAGCAATTATGGCGTTTAGTTTGCAGCCGAGGAATCAGGCATCGAATCACCTCCCAGATGTTAGATAAAGCTCACATCCTGCATTGTATGACCACGGAAAAACCAAAAATGCAACATCCTAATGGAGTTTTGTTGAATATCACGAGCTCAGTTTAGTCATTTGGAAATGAAGTAGAAAAACAAAAACATGTTTATTCATTTTTGTTTACTGCTTGTTTACTGGAGCAGCTCGTTCTTCCGAATCCATGCCTGCCTCCAAATCTCTGACGACTAATGATACGAATAGTGAAGAAAGCTGCCGTGCCCGTTTCTGAATAGATGAAAACACTGAGAGGAGAGTGAAGAGAGACGGATCATATTCAATAACGAATGGATCACCGGCTGAAGCTTTGATCAGCGAGTATCGATCCGTGTGTTTATGTAACGAGATGAGAGGCAACATATTATAACAGGAGCACTGATCTTAAGACTGAAGCAGAGATATCGACATGGGTTGATCGATGGGGGAAAGATTGATATTTGGTAAGAGGCCCGTGAACATGAGGATCAAACATGCTCCACCATTAAAGTTGAAGATAAACATAATGTGTATTTAAAACATAATTTAGCTGACATACAAGTTGGTGAAGAAGGTAAGAGTCACTGGAATATAAGCGCAGTTATTTAATTCATTAAATTATTCCGTATGCATGACTACTGCAGTATAATGTACGCGTTATAAAGCCCCCTGAGAGATATGTGATAATGGGCTTTCGAGATAACATGTCATTGAGTTATAGTATTGAATAGTAGAAGCTAGTTTAGGGATCACTTTTATAAGAATGGGTTAGGACTCAAAATGTGTTTTTCTGGTCCTTTTGCCTTTCTTGAGTTGTTTTACATCTCATTGCTCTCGTATTAGTGGGCGAGTTTGAGGATCTATTTCTGTCTAGAGCAGGGGTGTCAAACTCAAGGCCCGGGGGCCAAATCCGGCCCGCCACTTCATTTGATGTGGCCCGCAAGAGCTTGCAAAGAATATAATCAGTTTATTATAATGTTACATGCCGCTTTACAGGAGCACGTTGCCAATAAACTACATGTCCCACAATGCATCTGACATTTTTCTCAGAATTTCAATTTTATTTCTTCAAAATATGCTTTTTTCTCAGAATTTGAACATTTTACTTTTTTTTCAAAATGTCACGTTTTCCCCCAAAATCTCACAATCAGAATTTGGCTTTTCTTTTAAAATAATTTTTTGACATTCTCACTGAAGAGACTTGCAATTATTTGCCCTAGACTTCTGCTTTCAGACGTAGTTAATTATGAAGTTATTACCCTATCAGATAATAATCCAATGCAGAGGACAATACTGTAATATAATACATTATTTTATATTAAATATTTGTATATGTATTTTTATATAGTCTTAAAGTTACAACCGGCCCTTTGAGTGCAACCATAATGCTGATGTGGCCCGCGATGAAATTGAGTTTGACCCCCCTGGTCTAGAGCCAACATTCTCCTCAGCTTTTTGGTTAGCATAAAGTTGGTTTAGGTTAGTTCCTCTAGTCGTTTTTTATTTCAGATCCATCATCTCTTGAGGGACGGCACAGTGCTCACCCGCCTTCCCGAGTGCATAATAAGCCATATTTATTTTTAAGCAACACATAAGCCTGTGATTTCAGTGTTTATTTCTGTCTGATATTCCATTTGAAAGGCTTTATCTGCGTATGCCGATGAGTCACAAATATCAAAGTCATCAGTCATTTCTTTATTCCCCTCTAATCGAGCAGGAACAGATCTCACTGGGACATGTGTCATCAAGCAGCATTACTCACAGAGGCCATTATAACGACCAACATCGACCCCCTCCTCTGATGTGACAGAAGGTCCTGTCAAAGTGTGTGTGTGTGTTTTATAAGTCCATCGACCTGCCTTTGTGTGACTGTTCAATACATTCATGGGAATATACTTACTAACTTACTAATGGATCGTTGATTTTACAAGCAGGTTATGAGATGTGGATACTTTCCACAAAGTTTATTTTTTATATCTACAGCATTCAGTACGTTATTTGATTTTCAACTTTCAAATGTCACTAACAGCTAACATTCAGATTTTGGACATTTGAAGTTGTTATAGTTGATTTTGGGAGTTGCTGAATTGTTTTCATTTTGTATTTGTAATCGTTGTAGTTGCTCCTGCTTGCTTTGTCTTTTCCTGTACCCACTTCAACTGAACACGACTTGTTCTGCTTCTGCTAGGATGAAAACGTGTACATAAAGAAAGCAGCAATGGCACAGAGGCAGTTTCTTCCAGTCAAAACCAAACAGAACAGCGCTTGTGTCTTCAAACCACTCTAACCTTTTGAGCCTTTTATTAAAAATATCCATTACAGACTTTCTGTGACAGATATCTTCCAGCATAACTCCTGAAAACCACTTCCAAGCAGCAGTTTAGAAAGAAACACCAGGCTGGTTTACTTTGTATTTCAATTTCACAACAGCTACTAAAGCTTCATTACCTGTAGAAATGATACAAAAACACCACCAGAAACATGACATTTAACCTCAGTTTAAGTATGTGTGTGTGTGTGTGTGTGTGTGTGTGTGTGTGTGTGTGTGTGTGTGTGTGTGTGTGTGTGTGTGTATGATAATGGGGGTTTGCACGAGACATGACAGAATTCTGTTGCTTTCACGCTGATATCTCACCTGCTGCAAGAGAGAGGAGAGCAACTGAAGCCTCTGCTGTTGCTCCAAGTCATGCTGTTCCTCCTGACACACACACACACACACACACACACACACACACACACACACACACACACACACACACACACACACACACACACACACACACACACACACACACACACACACACACACACACACACACACACACACACACACACACACACACACACACACACACACACACACACACACACACACACACACACACACACACACACACACACACACACACACACACACACACACACACACACACACACACACACACACACACACAGGAGGGAAGCCCAGAGAAACACGGAAACACAGGCAGTGAGGATGAAGAGTTAGAGAAAGTTAGACAGACAGAAGCCGAGTGTTTTTCTCCTGATCTCCTCACCTGGTTGTCTGACAGCGCCCCCTCCTGGAAGGATGGAGTAACAGCAGGTGAACTGGCGCTGGATCCACTCCTCCTCGCCTCCTTCTCAGCGTCTCTCTTGTGTTGTCTCTTACTCTCTCTCTTGTCTCCTCTCTTTGGCTCCCACTCTTCTACCTTCTCTTCCAAACACTCGACCCCCATCTCTAACCTCGTCTCCTCCCTCTCTGAAGGACTCTTTATTAGTCTCTCCTCCGGTCCGTTCCCTTGTTCCACCGTCTCACTTTCTTCCTCTCTTTCTTCACTCAGTCTGTCACTTCCTCTCTGTCTCTCGGTGTCTTTCGTGCTCTCCTCCTCTTCCTCCTCTTCCTCCGACGAGCTGCAGTCTTTGCTGTTTGCTCTGCTGACCAGCTGGCTGAGTCTGGCCCTCAGCTCCTCCTCCAGAGAGTCTGCAGGCGGGGGTCCCGGGGCCACAGATTGGGGCTGTGGAGGGCTGGGGGCCGCTGAATTTGGAGCCACCGTGTCCAAGTCCTCTGGCTCAGGGGTCATGGCGTCTGATTTGAAGGCGTCCGGTGCAGCTGATGGCACAGGGTCGGGAACTGACTGCTCCTCACTGAGGCCCCGCTTCAGGAGAGCGTTGAGGAGGAAACCACTGTTCTCCTTCAGGGGGGGGGGCAAAGAGACATACATACATCATCAAAAAGTAATACATCATGCTCATTATTTAACAAAGAGTGCAAACGACTCAATTACTTCTACAAACAGGACTATGCACAGCTTCTTCTTCCCTTCAGACTGCTGACAATGAACCCCACGCTGTCCCATACTGCCTAGTTGTTGTCGTGTGCTGAAGCGCAATTATACAGTACTGTATTCACTGTATTTATTATTATCTGTGTATTTATTCTTGTTTATACATTTCCCATCTATTCACCTTTATTTTCGTATCATTTATTGTGTACATACTACTGATACATTGTGTATATAACTGACTGTTTTGCACTCTGGTTAGACCCTCCTTCATTTCGTTACACTGTGCTTGCATTTTGTAATGACAATAAAGTAATCTAATCTAATCAGATGGCCTGAACTGCATTATCAAACAGCCTCTCAATGGGGAAACACTATTTCACACTTCATTTCTCAATGGCATAGTGGGAAGTGATCAGATTGAAAGGCTTTAGTGTCATATGCACAATAGTTACAATGAAAATCTGAAGTTCCAGGCTTCTTCAGTGCAACCAACAATTTACTTAAAACATTAAAAGAGTGCAAGAATAAATAGAAATAGGATAGTGCACGAGAATGGTGCAACGGACACAATGGTGCAAGTAAAATGCAGAAATTAGTTAACTATATATGTAATTACGTATATATATATATATGTCAAATAGAGTAATATAAGATAAATAAACAATGTACAATTAAATGTGATGTGACTTTACAATAGCCCAAACGTTCAGTATAGATCAGAGCATGTTTTTGCCTTTACTGTTTTGTCTTAGGAATCTGTCAGGAAAGCCTGAGAGTGAGTGCAGGTGTGATGTACCTGATGGACTGAGAGTGAGTACAGGTGTGATGTACATGATGGACTGAGAGTGAGTGCAGGTGTGATGTACCTGATGGACTGAGAGTGAGTGCAGGTGTGATGTACATGATGGACTGAGAGTGAGTGCAGGTGTGATGTACATGATGGACTGAGAGTGAGTGCAGGTGTGATGTACCTGATGGACTGAGAGTGAGTGCAGGTGTGATGTACCTGATGGACTGAGAGTGAGTGCAGGTGTGATGTACATGATGGACTGAGAGTGAGTGCAGGTGTGATGTACCTGATGGACTGAGAGTGAGTGCAGGTGTGATGTACCTGATGGACTGAGAGTGAGTGCAGGTGTGATGTACCTGATGGACTGAGAGTGAGTACAGGTGTGATGTACATGATGGACTGAGAGTGAGTGCAGGTGTGATGTACCTGATGGACTGAGAGTGAGTGCAGGTGTGATGTACATGATGGACTGAGAGTGAGTGCAGGTGTGATGTACCTGATGGACTGAGAGTGAGTGCAGGTGTGATGTACCTGATGGACTGAGAGTGAGTGCAGGTGTGATGTACCTGATGGACTGAGAGTGAGTGGCAGGTGTGATGTACCTGATGGACTGAGAGTGAGTGCAGGTGTGATGTACCTGATGGACTGAGAGTGAGTACAGGTGTGATGTACATGATGGACTGAGAGTGAGTGCAGGTGTGATGTACCTGATGGACTGAGAGTGAGTGCAGGTGTGATGTACATGATGGACTGAGAGTGAGTGCAGGTGTGATGTACATGATGGACTGAGAGTGAGTGCAGGTGTGATGTACCTGATGGACTGAGAGTGAGTGCAGGTGTGATGTACCTGATGGACTGAGAGTGAGTGCAGGTGTGATGTACATGATGGACTGAGAGTGAGTGCAGGTGTGATGTACCTGATGGACTGAGAGTGAGTGCAGGTGTGATGTACCTGATGGACTGAGAGTGAGTGCAGGTGTGATGTACCTGATGGACTGAGAGTGAGTACAGGTGTGATGTACATAGATGGACTGAGAGTGAGTGCAGGTGTGATGTACCTGATGGACTGAGAGTGAGTGCAGGTGTGATGTACATGATGGACTGAGAGTGAGTGCAGGTGTGATGTACCTGATGGACTGAGAGTGAGTGCAGGTGTGATGTACCTGATGGACTGAGAGTGAGTGCAGGTGTGATGTACCTGATGGACTGAGAGTGAGTGCAGGTGTGATGTACCTGATGGACTGAGAGTGAGTGCAGGTGTGATGTACCTGATGGACTGAGAGTGAGTGCAGGTGTGATGTACCTGATGGACTGAGAGTGAGTGCAGGTGTGATGTACATGATGGACTGAGAGTGAATGCAGGTGTGATGTACCTGATGGACTGAGAGTGAGTGCAGGTGTGATGTAACCTGATGGACTGAGAGTGAGTGCAGGTGTGATGTACCTGATGGACTGAGAGTGAGTGCAGGTGTGATGTACCTGATGGACTGAGAGTGAGTGCAGGTGTGATGTACCTGATGGACTGAGAGTGAGTGCAGGTGTGATGTACCTGATGGACTGAGAGTGAGTGCAGGTGTGATGTACATGATGGACTGAGAGTGAGTGCAGGTGTGATGTACCTGATGGACTGAGAGTGAGTGCAGGTGTGATGTACCTGATGGACTGAGAGTGAGTGCAGGTGTGATGTACCTGATGGACTGTGAGTGAGTGCAGGTGTGATGTACCTGATGGACTGAGAGTGAGTGCAGGTGTGATGTACCTGATGGACTGAGAGTGAGTGCAGGTGTGATGTACCTGATGGACTGAGAGTGAGTGCAGGTGTGATGTACCTGATGGACTGAGAGTGAGTGCAGGTGTGATGTACCTGATGGACTGAGAGTGAGTGCAGGTGTGATGTACCTGATGGACTGAGAGTGAGTGCAGGTGTGATGTACATGATGGACTGAGAGTGAGTGCAGTGCAGGTTGTGATGTACCTGATGGACTGAGAGTGAGTGCAGGTGTGATGTACCTGATGGACTGAGAGTGAGTGCAGGTGTGATGTACCTGATGGACTGAGAGTGAGTGCAGGTGTGATGTACATGATGGACTGAGAGTGAGTGCAGGTGTGATGTACCTGATGGACTGAGAGTGAGTGCAGGTGTGATGTACCTGATGGACTGAGAGTGAGTGCAGGTGTGATGTACCTGATGGACTGAGAGTGAGTGCAGGTGTGATGTACCTGATGGACTGAGAGTGAGTGCAGGGGGGATGTACATGATGGACTGAGAGTGAGTGCAGGTGTGATGTACCTGATGGACTGGGAGTGAGTGCAGGTGTGATGTACCTGATGGACTGAGAGTGAGTGCAGGTGTGATGTACCTGATGGACTGAGAGTGAGTGCAGGTGTGATGTACCTGATGGACTGAGAGTGAGTGCAGGTGTGATGTACCTGATGGACTGAGAGTGAGTGCAGGTGTGATGTACCTGATGGACTGAGAGTGAGTGCAGGTGTGATGTACTGATGGACTGAGAGTGAGTGCAGGTGTGATGTACCTGATGGACTGAGAGTGAGTGCAGGTGTGATGTACCTGATGGACTGAGAGTGAGTGCAGGTGTGATGTACATGATGGACTGAGAGTGAGTGCAGGTGTGATGTACCTGATGGACTGAGAGTGAGTGCAGGTGTGATGTACCTGATGGACTGAGAGTGAGTGCAGGTGTGATGTACCTGATGGACTGAGAGTGAGTGCAGGTGTGATGTACCTGATGGACTGAGAGTGAGTGCAGGTGTGATGTACCTGATGGACTGAGAGTGAGTGCAGGTGTGATGTACCTGATGGACTGAGAGTGAGTGCAGGTGTGATGTAACCTGATGGACTGAGAGCGAGTGCAGGTGTGATGTACCTGATGGACTGAGAGTGAGTGCAGGTGTGATGTACCTGATGGACTGAGAGTGAGTGCAGGTGTGATGTACCTGATGGACTGAGAGTGAGTGCAGGTGTGATGTACATGATGGACTGAGAGTGCAGTTGCAGGCGGTGTGATGTACCTGATGGACTGAGAGTGAGTGCAGGTGTGATGTACATGATGGACTGAGAGTGAGTGCAGGTGTGATGTACCTGTAGATGGACTGAGAGTGAGTGCAGGTGTGATGTACCTGATGGACTGAGAGTGAGTGCAGGTGTGATGTACCTGATGGACTGAGAGTGAGTGCAGGTGTGATGTACCTGATGGACTGAGAGTGAGTGCAGGTGTGATGTACCTGATGGACTGAGAGTGAGTGCAGGTGTGATGTACCTGATGGACTGAGAGTGAGTGCAGGTGTGATGTACCTGATGGACTGAGAGTGAGTGCAGGTGTGATGTACCTGATGGACTGAGAGTGAGTGCAGGTGTGATGTACCTGATGGACTGTGAGTGAGTGCAGGTGTGATGTACCTGATGGACTGAGAGTGAGTGCAGGTGTGATGTACCTGATGGACTGAGAGTGAGTGCAGGTGTGATGTACCTGAGCTAGAGGGTAGATGGACTGAGCGTGGCTCCCTGCAGCTCTCTGCTCTGATGAAGACTCTCTCTTGCTCTTCCTGCGTCTCCGTGACCTCCTGACGGGGTCGATCTTCTTCTCCTCCGCCTCACTGCTGTCCCCCGTCACCTGGGAACACACATCACACTTCAACTTTAGTATTTCCTTTTTCATTGCCATAGTTCACATTTCAGACAGTACTTTTTACCCTGAAATGATTGTATTTCCTATACTTTGTATACAAACATGCACTGGATGAGTTTTAGTGATTTTGACTAGTACTTACTTTAATAATATCATTGTGTGATTCTTATTTTCTAATGTTTATCTATATTTACTACTTCTCGCACTTCTTAGCTAAGCTTGGAAAATTCCTTATTAAGAAGATTTGTTGCAGTGTTGTTAGTGACTCTCTATGTGCACCAACAGTATGACCTTCCACTGAACTGAGAACTGAGAACTTCCTGATACGGCCTCCCTAACTCCCAGAATGCTCCTTCATCATCACCAAGCTTCACCCCTTCCTTCCTCCTCTCTGTGTGTTGAGACTGACTGAACTTTCTTGCAAGAAATAAAGTACAACAAAGACAGCTGAATGGTTTGATTCTGTATCCACATTTGATACATAAATTCCCACCACACATATTAAAGCTGAGTTTAACCTTGGGGTTGAAGTTGACGTCCAGGGCCTCTGAGGGCACTGGGTACGGGGAGAGGTTCTGGTGGTACAGCGGCTGGTGGGGGGGGTGCAGGTGTGTGTCGGGGGGGGGTCCTTTCTTCCTCAGCAGGTTGTGGGGGGGTTTTCGGGGACAGGCCGACAGCACGGACGAGGCCTCGGAGTCCGAGTTGAGCGTCTCTGTGTTGGTGTACTGGCCGGAGGAGGGGGAGGTGACGGGCAGGTGCTGCGTGTACGTCCACTCGGGGTCGTGCTGAGAGTCCGTGTAGTACGTCTCGTCGGACATTTTGCGCCTGAACTGTCTCAGCGCCGCCCCCCAGCCGCCCTCGTCGTCCGGCTCAGAGTCGGACCCCATCCCGTCGTACGCCGACACCACGCCGGACTCCTTCTCCAGCGCGCTGAACACCAGGCTCTTCCTCTTGGTCAGCAGGCTGGGCCGGGACAGCTGGGAGCTGTGTAGAGCGATCCAGTTCCCGTCCGGACTCTGGAGCACCGAGGACGCACCTGCAGGGACAGGAAGTTCAGAGACACTGACAGAACTGCACTCTGAGGATAGGCTGTTTGACACTGACTACTTAAAGATTAGATTAGATTGCTTTTATTGTCACTAAACAAGAGTACAGCGAAATTCCAAGCATTCCCGATGGTGCAATCACACATAAGACAGAATAAGTATCAAATACAAGCTAAAACTTTTAATATATGATATATAAAGTGACTATAATTTGGACCTATGATACATTGAATAGTACGCTTACAAAAAACAACATTACCATAAAATGCAAGAACAATACGGTCAAGGCAGTAACAAATGTAAACAAGTCAGTCAGTAAGTTATTGCACATGTATTTATCAGTGCAGTTGATGAAGAGCAAAGATTAAAGCGTCTACTGAGCTGTGAAAAATAATTCTGATGATTGATTCTTAGTCTGAGCTAAATACTTTTGCCAGAATCATGTTTATTAGTTCCTTTAACAGGTGCAAAACAGATGATTTTTTAAAATAAATGTAGAAAGCACATATATTATCCAGGCTAAACCTTCATTTAGATCAGACTTAAGGGTTGATATTTCTTAGATGAACAATAAAACACATGTACTAACATTAATTTCTCCCTTGACTTCTTATCGTAAAACCATCGAAACCATCATTTATTTATTTAGATAAATTACAAATCATGTCTCATCAGTAAGAAAAACTTAATTCAATTTCAGTTTGAATCTGAAAAGGACATGGTGGGGCTGTCTTCCAATACGTATCATGAATTCACATTTTTATTTGATTATAATGACCTCTAGTGTTGGGTAGGTTGTTTGAATAGGGCAGATATACAGACATTTCTTTATCCACGTTGTATATTTTCCAGCCATAAGAAGGTCGTCCAGGGGCCGGAAACATTAAGCCCCCCCCCCTTTCCCCGCTTGATGTTCCCTTTGTGGGCTTTTTGTGTTTTATTGTCTTAAATACGTCCTGCTGCAAAAACCAATTGCCACTGTGGGAGGAAAATAAAGCTGAAATGCCTAAAATCGATTTTATTGTGCATCCTATTTGTCATATTGTCTGCGTGTGTGAGTGTGTGTGTGTGAGTGTGTGTGAGTGTGTGTGCGTGTGTGTGTGTGACTGTGTGTTGTTTCCTGGTTGTGTGTCTGTGTGAAAGAAGAGTGGGAGAACTGCCTAACCTCTCTGTTAGGAGAAAATGGAAAAGGTACAAGTGTGTATGGAGTTATGTTAGCAGCACAACGCTGGTATTGTTTTCAATCTGTGTGTGTGTGTGTGTGTGTGTGTGTGTGTGTGTGTGTGTGTGTGTGTGTGTGTGTGTGTGTGTGTGTGTGTGTGTGTGTGTGTGTGTGTGTGTGTGTGTCTGTGTGTCTGTGTGTGTGTGTGCCACTGTGGGAGAAAAATAAAACTGAAATGCTTTAATCGAATTTATTGTGCATCCTATTTGTCATAGTTGCATCTGCATCCAGAGTGTGTGTGTGAGTGTGTGTGTGTGAGTGTGTGTGTGTGAGTGTGTGTGTGTGATGTTTACTGGAGTTGTCCAGGCGGTCCACACTCTTCCAGCTGGGGAGTGCTGTGGCCTTGCCCTCCCTCTTTAGAGAGGTGTAATCTTGTGACCCTCCACCGGCCCGGGCCCCCCCCTCTTCCTCCAGACCCTTCTCTGGGGAGTCGTCACTGGTGAGGGAGAACGCTGAGCGCGAACGCTGTAGAAAAAACACAGTAAAACACAGGCAAAAATATGATTTGTGAGGAAAAACAAGTCAAATGCATGCACCTCTGCTGATGTAAACAATAAACGTCTGAGTTCAGGCATCAGTCTCTCTGAAAATAAATGGAACATGTTTAAAACTCTGGAAATGTAAAGTAGGAAATCAGTCTGGTCTGTATATAAGATCATTGTTGACTTGAGTCTGAGCAGCTGCAGACAGGTTTTACTGCCTGGACGGCGGCAGTAGTCACATATAATATCTACTTACAGTAATTACATAATATAAAGGGAAGCCCTGCTGGCTAGTCTACTTCCTGTCTGGGCAGAAATCTGTAAAGCTGTGGCTGTGAGTCAACAATCCCACCAGCAGGGGGAGCTAGAACACAACTAAAGAGCAAAACGGACAACAGAGGCTCTTCAAGTCATCTGTGAGAGAAATGTTGTGGAAGTTGTAGGATCATAACATGTCTTTATATTAAACAAACAAACAAAAAAACTAGAGCAAGACATTTTGCCTGCTCTCTTCAACTTTAAGGCAAATTAACAGGTATATTCTTACTCATCTTGTCAATTCGATCTTCATCCTAAAGATTTGGGGTCAACAAATTCGACTTCCATCTTACAAAAACAACGTTACAAAACAGTCTAAAAATACATTTTAACTGCCTGCTTTTCCCCATGTATCTGATGGTTTTATAGTATTTAATCTTTTTATTTTGCTTTGTTGTTTTGTTTAACTCATAGTGACATTTAGCATAGCTATTGCCATGCAGGTGTATCAAGCAATACACCTCTCAGAAACACATGCATGCACACACGTGTAGATTTAGTAGCTGTTCCACTGGGAATGAAAGGAACAATATGGAGGGGGTTTAAAGCTCATTCATGTGCACAAGCTCAACTTAAATCTCATTGGTGAACAGTCGGTCTTTCCCACGACTTAACATCCAAGTTAAAGTACTAAAGGTACATGCATATTCAAATATAGACCATGAAGAGAAAATATATACGTTTGTAGAACGGATGGGATGCACTGTTCAGATTACTCTAAGGATCATTGTTGAGGCAGTGCAGATTTGAGTGTGTATTTGCATGCCTGGTGCCTAGTGTTTGCAGAAAGCTGTGTGTGTGTGTGTGTGTGTGTGTGTGTGTGTGTGTGTGTGTGTGTGTGTGTGTGTGTGTGTGTGTGTGTGTGTGTGTGTGTGTGTGTGTGTGTGTGGGGATCCCCACGTATTTCACGGGACTTTGATCTACGCTGAGTGAAACAGCGGGAAACAGAACGGCGAGGTGCGCAGCTTTGAAGCTTCGCTCACACACGGGACGATGACAAATCTGCAGGAGTCCCCGCTGACTCGTAGTGAGAGGCAGGTGTGTGTGTGTGAGTGTGTGCGTGTGTGTGTACTATACACCTCAGTGAGTCCCTGTGTGTAGTTTTTTTTCAAACCTGGAACATTAAGTGAAACCGGTGTTCTGTAGATTTGGATTGACTTGGCACACATTTGTAATATTTGTAAGGCTTTGCCAACTTAAGGGGAGAATCCACTGTAAAACACTTCTAAAGAGAAAAGCTAAGTCAGGCACCTGGGGGTCTATTTTGTTGCTAAGTGGGCTATTTTCCCTGAAGCATACAGTAGATGAACCTAAAAGAGCAGCACGTGTACTGTCTGCCAAACCCAAGGAATCCTCTAAATGAGACAATTTGAACACATTTTTTGTTTGAATATGCTTCTAGAAAAGCATGAAAATCCACATCATTGTCAACTTTTTGCACTTTTTTGGAGAATACCTTAATCCTGCAAAACATAAGTGGACAAAATAAAGGAATTCTAACTCATCACCACTAGATCTGAAGAGAAATGCAACCCTTAATAAGACCACATTGATTGATTGATTGATAAAAAGGCACCCTTTGGTCGCCACTATTTAGTTGTTTTGAAAGCAGCACTGACATGAGAGGTTGGCACTTAGAGCTGAACATGATATTTTTAATAGAAGATATCATATACTTCTATAAAACCTGAATTATTTTTGAACCAGTGTTGGAGATGAGAAAGAAAATCAGTGTTTAGACACTTGGCTTCACTTTTCAGACGCGGAGGTTGTCTCCTGGGTGCCACTGAAACGATTCATGCCAAACACAACATTCCTGTGTTTTAAAAAAATGGCAAACACAGAGACAGTGGCTGAGAAACACATAATGAAACACAGACCCTCCACTGTTTGAACTCTGAAACGAAGCGAGAACACCAAACCACTATTGTTTAAAACCAAATCTGCAAAGACACTGGTGAACACTCAGCAGTTCACACGCGCTGACAGCACAGCTTTGTGGGGACTTCACTGGATCCGGTTGACATTTGTTTGTTTGAGCAGATTTCATCACTGACCCACAGAGAGTAGGAGGTCTTCAGAGGGTCCTGGGGGGCTTGTGAAGACGCTTGAGGCTGCGACGGAGAGGCGAGTTCTCCGGGCTGGATCAGATTCTGAGGCTGCGGCCAGACAAAGTCGTACTCTGTCTGCATCTCCGAGCGCTTCCTCCTCTGGATGATCTGAGCAGAGAGGGAATAAAGAAGGATAGAGCTTGATTACACTTTTGCATTTTGGAGGGGTCCCGACACTGGACGGGTTGTCGCGGGGAGGAGGTGCTGCTGTACTGACATTTATTGTTCATTATTGACATTTTTGTTTTAGCTGACTGGTTTTCTATTTATTTATTTATTATTTATTTATTTATTTATTTAAATTGAATTGATTTTATTTATTTAAATTGAATTGATTTTATTTATTTATTTAAATTGATTTTATTTATTTATTTAAATTGATTTTATTTATTTATTTAAATTTATTTATTTATTTATTTAAATTTAATTGATTTTATTTATTTATTTAAATTGAACTGATTTTATTTATTTATTTAAATTGAATTGATTTTATTTATTTATTTAAATTGAATTGATTTTATTTATTTATTTAAATTGAATTGATTTTATTTATTTATTTAAATTGAATTGATTTTCTTTATTTATTTAAATTGAATTGATTTTTATTTAAATTGAATTGATTTAATTTAAATTGAATTGATTTTATTTAAATAGAATTGAATTAATTTAAATTGATTTAATTTAAATTGGATTGAATTTAATTGATTTAATTGGATTGAATTGATTTTATTGATTTTATTTATTAATTTATTTTATTTATTCTGTCTGTGTATAATAAATCCAGTTCAACAGACCCTGGATATGTTTGAGTTATCTGGTTTAACTAATCCAAAACAAACACGCTCTCGCTAAGCGGTCCTACGACGCTGGTTATCAACTCAGTAACTCAAGCCAGGGTTTAGGGGCGGGGCTAGCAACATTTTACCAATAACAAACATGGAGAAGCGTACTGACAGCGCAGCGTCATACTTCCTGAATGAAAAGTAAACTATAATATTAGACATATGAAGAAGTTAAACTTTAAACATACATGACTTAAACACTTGATCCAGGATCAAAGCCACAGAGCTGCACCTGCAAGGTGAATACAGCTGGTAACAGAAAAAGCATTTTAATGCGTACATTAACAGGTTTATGATATCACTGCCACTAAGACACGAGTGGATCTGACTTTAATTACATTTGACTCGAGTGTTTCGTCAACTTAATGTGCTGCTTAAAATAATACTTCTGCATACAGTCTGTGACACTGTGAGTGTTGCACGGCCAGATACGGCTCAGCTGACTCAGATAAGGAGATATATGATACATTATGAAGTGATATGATGTGATATGAATGATAATGGGACACATCGACGTCTGCACTCACAAGTGATATGCCGCGGACTGTACGTACTGTTACTTTGATCCGGTTACTTATGTTGTGGCAGATATTTAAGTAAGCTTTCTTAACGCTAATGTTATAATAGTCAGATTGCTCTGAAGATGGAGGTGATATTCTATTAATGTTCACGTTCACACAGTCGGTGATTTTTGCCGGCCGTCTTTCCTGCAACGGCAGTTTTTCTGTATTTCCTTTCTCCTGTAATATGACTTGATCGCTTTAAACTCCGCACACTGAGCTCTGATTGGTCAGCAGGCAGTGCTTTCACTGAGTTGATCTCTTAGCCTGCAACCTAACCTGCTCCGGAGCAGGCTAGCCGCTCAGCATAAGTTACCATGGAGATCGAGCACGGTAAAAAGAGAACCAGCGTCGTAGGACCGGAAAGCCAGAGTTTTCCTTGAAGTTAGCCGCTAAGCGAAAATCCTGCTTCGTAGTACAGGCCTCAGGTGTTGAGCAGTATTTACTTTGTTACTCTATCTATTTTTCTATTAAGTGAAGATCTGTTTACCTACTTTTGATACATGCTCTGATAGAATAACTGTATGCTGTTGAAAAAACCCAATAAACAAAGTAAAGGAAAAAAAGAAGGATAGAGCAAATGTTATCAAGCCTTTTATTAAAAACAGATATATATGTATTATGCGAGGTATACAAAACGTGAAAGAGGTCAGACTGAGAGCTGCAAGGTTTGCAAGCACGCTGCAAGCTTAACTCAAATAAGAAATTATAATAATTGCAACTCTGAAAATGCTAATTAAATCCCATTACAGCTTATTACATTTGCACAAAGGAATGAATCATTTTCTATAATAAAACTTTAAAACCAATATCCAGTTTCCATTTGAACTTTCTGCCTTACAGTTCAGATATTGGACAAATGTTAATTAAAGCAGGACGCAATCAAACTACTGTAAATCTACACTTACTAAAGTCAGGCTAACCTTTGCTAAAGTCGTTCTGTGATCACAATTTCAGAAGAAGAAATAACTTGAATGACTGTGTTCCCGTGCTATTTCTCTTACAAAATGTCATGTCAAAGAAAGTGAAGACCAAGGAGAGACCTAGCTTATTGTATTTCATTTTATATTGTGCATTTACATTTGGAAAAGGCTTACTACACTTTGACACAGAAAGGGAAATTAAAACTTTCCTCAACGTACTTTTTGTACGATAGTTGTGGCGAGTTCTTCTATGAGTTCCTCTTTGTGGTCCTGCAGATATCGAGCCTCATTCTGCTTCTCCTGCACACAGAGAGAGGGTGACTGATTCAAAGGGGAAGGGGAGAGACAGGGGGAGAAAGGGAGGAAGGAGAGAGAGGGACACAGTGATTCCTCACCAAGCTGTCACTGAACTCCTCCGCCTTAGCGATGGCTTCCTCTATCGCCTCCTCAGCGACACGCAGGGCGACTGTGAGCGTCTCGGCCATACTGTGTCCTGAACCACACACACACACACACACACACACACACACACACACACACACACACACACACACACACACACACACACACACACACACACACACACACACACACACACACACACACACACACACACACACACACACACACACACACACACACACACACACACACACACACACACACACACACACACACACACACACACACACACACACACACACACACACACACACACACACACACACACACACACACACACACACACACACACACACACCTGAGATCTTGCACCTGTGATACAAACTACATTCTTCCTTAACACGCATTCTACAGATCCCTTTAACTAAGCGTGGTATGCAACTAGGTACATTTACTCAAGCACTGTACTAAAGTACCAGTTTGAGGTAAAAACTGTTTAACCTAATTGTTAGTATTTTCAAATACTTCAATAACGCATTAATATTTATAGTCCAATTATGTATATATGATTCTGAAATGAGCCATTCTGCCTAATTAGTACTTTTACTATAGTCTATTTTGATGCTTCTGAATGAAGGACTTGTAACAGAGTATTTTTACAGTATTGCGACTTTAACAAAGGAACTACCTCCGCCTTTAACTCCCACTGTGATCAAACAGTTAACCACAGCTGTATTACAGCCCCTCTCGTGGGTCACAAGATGAATGGATATTAAAGAACAATATTTTGCACAGACTTTAATTAATTAATTGAACACCCCTGCTGGACTAAAAACATATTTAAGTGAATACATCTGAGAATTTCAGAGGGAAAACCACTATTTGGTGAACATATGCATGAGTATTAGATGGTGTTGTTCTCAAAGGTTGTTCTTAAAGGTGGGGTAGGTAATTTTGGAGAAACCAGCTCGAGTGCGCTAGAATTTGAAAATACACAACCGGGAAAAGTCTGCCACTTCCTCACAGAGCCCCTCCTCCAACACACATGAACGCGCACATGACCAATGAGGGCACGAGATAAGTTTGTGCCCAGATGGAAAGGCTGACAGGCAGGTAGGCCATCCAGTTACTTTAGCCGGCTCAGATGATTGGTCGTGCTTTCTACAGCGCCACGGCTTCCACAGATTTTTTAATGGATTTTTTGTCAAAGCACTCAAGATATTCATTGCTATCGGGATGTTAAGAGCATTCCATGGAATATAACAAAAAGTGTATCTCGAGCCGGTTTCTCAAACTTACCTACCCCACCTTTAAGTCGCGATATTTCAACAAATGTTACTCCTAGTTTAACTGAAATTAGAATGTGTTTATCTCTTTAGATGATTGCACAAAACATGTTTAATAGAAAAAATGTCAACATACTATTACTGGCCATTTGAACACTGCAGTTAAAGTCTACACATCTACACTGCAGAGTGAAAACCCACCTGTTTCCACTGCAGCTCGGCCAATTAAAACAATCATTATGAATAAAAACCTCATCTCTCTTCTCTAAGTAGCATTTAGGAAGTTTGGGCTTATTAAAAACTAATGCACTCGTGGGATTATTGCTTTTCTGAGTTTGCATCTTAATGGTTGAATGCACTTGCTGTGGATAAAAGCATCCACTAAATGTAATTATAATATTATGTAATAAAAACACACGGATCCCACGTCTTCTCATGCGCTAAACAGCCGATCTGGATCATTGCATAAACTCCTCTTGTTACTGGGAGACAGGTGAAATTAGCTTTATCATTAAATGGGGTTATTAGTGCATTGACCGGCATGTGAGACTAAATGTCTGTAGGAGGTTTTAGTTTTATCTGTGTGTGCGTGTGTGTGCATTTCATTCTCGACAGCGGTTTTATGTGTATCTGTGGATTTATGTGTGTGTGCATTTAATTCTCGACAGCGGATTTATGTGTGTGTGTGCGTATGAATTTTTTACGTGTTTCAATTCACTTTGTAGCATTGATGGGACACACACCCAGGGCCGCCCCTCCCTACAGGCCAATCACGCAGGCTGCATGGGGCCCCGCCTTGCGCAGGGGGCCCCGCCCAGAGGGCCTCAGCTGCTGTGCGCACTGCGCAGTTCTCCGCGCATCCCCCGCGAGAGTGTGACGGCCCGTCCACACGACAGCTTCAAAAACGGTTTCCAACGCGTCTGCCCATTCATTTTGAATGGGGTGACGTCACGTTGCCTCGCTATTCGCCGAACTGAATTGTGGGTAGCATAGCGGTCCGTCTCCGGCGTCAGAAGTTGAACATGTCAGAAGTTGAACAATGTTCAACTTCTGACGCCGGAGACGCCGGAGTAGCCAGCGCCAGCCAATCAAATCCCGTTTCTGAAAATCTGACAGCTCAAGCCCTAGCCAATCAAACCGCGTCTAAGCTGGGAGAGATATCCCGCCGTTCATTTCTATATTTCAAAAAAAGATGGAGGAGAAACTAATTATCGCCGTAGCGAACCACCCGGTTTTGTATGACCAGACCCTCTTCACCTACCGGGATACAATCCGGAGGAACCAGGCATGGAGGGAGGTGGCAGAGACAGTGGGTGAAACTGGTAGGTTTTCGCCTGTTTGGGGAGTTTATATATATATATATATTGCTCGCATAAAATCCCCGGGGTTTTTTGCTTTGTATGTCGGGGGCGGGAGATTCATGTGATTGGTTGTTGGTCGCGTTGCTCGAATAAAATCCCCAAGCTTCAGACACGCCCAGCTCCAAGCTTTTTTTGAAGCTGTAGTGTGGCTGCTCCGAGAGATGACAAGGGGAGCATGTCTGTAACCCGACACCGTTGCAATGTATCGACATCTGACCAATCACGGCTTTGATACGGCCACTAGTGCAGGTAAAGAGATGTCGGTGAAAAGACAGTTTCAGTCCGGCACAAAAAACAAAACATGAAGAAACTAGAGCATCACTCGAAGGTGGGTTATTGTATGAGTCAAATGTACAACTTGCGAATGTTGTATAAGTCAAATTGCCAATTGCCATATTAAAACATCAGCTGCAATTCACGACATGAAGAAGGCAGTCTCTGCATAGCATATAGGCTAATGGAGATGCAGTTATTTCCAGCATTCTTTATTTACCATTCATTCAAGTATGTTATGCCTTTTATCTGCTGATGTACAGGAGGAGAGTGATAAACTGTCTGTCTAGTTGGCTTACATAACAGTTAAAGTTTACAGCTTAAAAAACATGGAGCATTTTTTCCCTTTTTATTCATTTTTATGTCAATTTGCACATTTCATGGTGATGCTCAGCCTCTCCCCTTAACTCCTAAGTCATCATCATGTCAACCACAACACAGAGAAATACTGAGAGAAATGTGTGTCTAGTTGTTGATGCATTGCTGACAGAGGGAACTACATTTGAATACAGATTTAAGAAATATCATTTTTTGAGCATGTCATAAGCATGTTTTGTCTTGACTATATTATAATAAAACAATATAGTATTTTTATTATTGAATTGATTATGATTATTAGTAGAAGTAGTTTCACCTGTAAACGCATACTGAACGACATACATGCACATTTACCATTTACCTCACTGTATAAAAAAGTAACTGTTGATAATAATAATAAACAGGAATTATATTTGCAAACATTTTTTCACTCCTGTCGGTTGGGGGGGGGGGGCCTCATCTCACAATGTCGCTTGGGGCCCCAAGTTAGCAAGGGGCGGCGCTGCACACACCCCTCTGCAGAATGCTCTCCAACAATTAATGAGCAATAACTATAAAAGCTTACCCGTTCTAAGGGACGAATGGACAGCAATATGGCTACTAACGCAGGTGAGAATCAGCTATAAACTGGGGAAGTTAATGTTAATTATAATGGCGTCTGAATTACACATCTCTCACCTTCGCTCTGTTTGTAGAAGGCGGAGTCGCTGTCACAGACGCTGCCATCGTTGTCGTTGCCGGTGCTTCCCTCGTGAGCGCTGCTTTCTAAAGAAGCGGAGAGAGAATGACAAACCCAGTGTTCAGATGAAAGCCTTCGAACTGACGCCTGTCACAGAAATGCAAAAATATCCCGCTCGTATCATAACGTCTCATAATGTAGCTGCGCACTGTTGACACATTAAAAGTAGGTTACAGAGCGCAGTGTCTCTAAACTCCTCATTGTGATCCTGTCAACTGTAGTCCCATCTCCTTTTTGTCATCTAGTGAATCATAGAGTTGTGTGTCTTCTACGCGGTCCCTATTGAACACACACAAAGAAACATGACATTTAAAAAGAAATATGCCTTTCAAACTAATGACACTTGAGCACATCACCATGCTTCCTCTTTCATGTCTCTACAGTGCTGTATTTGTTGTGTAAATATCTTTAAAAACGTATTCCAACATCTAGAGTAAACCAAAATGGAAAATATGTGATTATAATCCTCTCACAGCTCCACTTAAAGAGCAGTGAGGGCCCAGAGAAGGCGTAGTGGTTTCAACATCCCGCCTTCAAAACCACACACTCCCTCAGGGGCCCATTAACTCGTGTTAGACACTTCTCCTGAGGTTTGCATTCAGCCTTTGCATCTGCAGAAATGAAGAGATTTGGACATGCAGGTTATTAGAGAGACAAACTGTCAGAGAGTGCACGAGAGGTGTTAGTCTGACGGACCGCGATCCAGGTACATTTCCACCCCCCCCCCCCCCCCGACCACAGATCCTCCAGACAGATCCGGACCATAATAACAATCAGCTTATATTTTAAGCCTAGTCACCATTGTAAAACTTCGGGAGCGACTGTGGGAATTTAACCAGGCAAAGAGAGTGGCAGATACATTAAGTGTGTCCTCTGAATAATAAAGTCCCCCCCCCCAAACTAAAACCTAGAGTGCTTCTCAAAGTGTGGTCCGCGGACCACTGGTGGTCCGTGAGCGCCCCCTAGTGGTCCGTGAGTATATTGGTAACATTTCACATTTGAAATAAATAAATACATTTCAGTTTTTTGTACTCTCGCGGGAATATCTCCGCAATGGAGCGAGCTTAAGTTTCACTTTCGATTGCATGATATAGCCCAGATAAACACCTTCATCACACATGTTGCCACTTGTTTGTACCATTTTCAGGCGATTTGTAAAAAACGATGTGTTTTTGGATATTTGTGGAGTTAGGTGGTCCTCGAGTGTTTTTTTATTGGTTAAGTGGTCCTTGGTATGAAAAAGTTTGAGAAACACTGACCTAGACAGAGTCGGTCTGGCGTTTTAAAATCAGTTTAATTAGCCCAAACACATTCAACACCTCCAACAGAAGTACAGACATAAATTATAAGTAATTCTCCAGCAATGTCCAACTTAGAATAATAATAATACATTACATTTATAAAGCGCTTTTCCTGGTGCTCAAAGCGCTTGAGTCCTTTCTCTGTGTGTGTGTGTGTGTGTGTGTGTGTGTGTGTGTGTGTGTGTGTGTGTGTGTGTGTGTGTGTGTGTGTGTGTGTCCTCACAATCAAGAAGAATGCAGTCTTCTTGATATGGCTGAATAATCCCAATGAAAGAAAACATAATAAGTCCAAAGTCACTCCACAAAAAGGTAAACTGGCTCCAGATCCACCATCCAGCTCATTTCCATCCAGCAAGCAGAGCCAAAACCAAACCAACCAAAACCTTTCCAAAACACAGGCCCTGATCCAAAACTGCTGACAAAACAAAACCAAATTCCACGACTCCTGTCCTTGGCTGGTAACTTCTCCTCTGTTCCTGTTTCTGTCCTGTTGGGCCGGTTTCAGTTCTGGATGAATGCACAGAGACAGACAAATACTTGTGGTGGTTTGGTGCAAAAGTCTGCCTTCAAGGAGCCAGAGCCACTCACCGATCTGTGCCATAGCTCACTGACATCACAGCTGAACACACAGCGATCATTGATGTTGCCATTGGATGCATTCTTGGCCTCTCGCACAAGCATATAGTCTTATAAAAAAAGCATTTAAAGCAATAAACGTAATGGAATCATTTCAGAAGAGGCCAACACAGGAAAATATGAAGCCAGGGAAGCAAAACACATCTGTGTCCCGCCTCTGACAGCAGCAGTAACACAGGCTGTCAGATGTGTTTCAGTTTGCTACTGTTTGTCAAAGCGCTGAGACGTTATAGTGCAGAGAGCGTAAGCCAGCCATCACACACTCCTACATTTCTCCACCGTGACACGCTGTGACTCAACCAGAAAGGACTATTTTTATATTCTCCTATACATCTGAGTACATGAAGTATCTGCCCTAACAGCAGCTTGAGTCTAAAGATGTGACTAGCTCCGATTTAAAGAGTGTGTGTTTGATTTAATGCAGCCCAGCGTATCTCCGGGGGACAATCCCATGTTCCTCGGATTTATATATTGCACATAATGGGAACAGCTCTATCTAAAAAATGTAAGTGAAGTTCTACCCTTCTGCTGCTTTCAGAACAATGCTAAAACACTACCAACTGCTTTTTAAAGTTTCCAGCTAACTCCCAGCTGAGTGTGTTATTACCGTCATAGATGGAAGAAAGGCATTACAGTGTGCAGTGCTGTAGGAGTGTGAACGAGTGTTAACAGACCAGTGAACTGGGAGCAGACACACTCCCAGTCGCTGCTCGCTGTAACAAATCCTCACCATTACACGTCTGAGCGGCTCTGTTCCCGCCTGGCTGGAGCTGAGTCACTGAGGACGGGGACAATAGGGGACATACCTGCAGCAGCTCGACACAATGTAGACACATACAGGAGAGCTGTCAGGGAAAGTGAGCCGCCTCGCAGGAACACACACACAGGTGGCCAGAACACACACACACAGGTGGCCAGAACACACACATCACTTCAGGGGACATTACATTTACTCACATGCATTTCCCGGAGACTTATCTTAACCATAACCAACACACGCCTAACCCTAACCAAGTCTTCACCCTAATTTTGTCCCCATAATGTGGTAAGAACAGTTTGTCACTCTAGCGTATTGCCACACACACACACACACACACACACACACACACACACACACACACACACACACACACACACACACACACACACACACACACACACACACACACACACACACACACACACACACACACACACACACACACACACACACACACACACACACACAGAGGAATCGTGGTGATGCTCCCTCACTGTTTAACGTCAGCCTCTGTCACAACATAACTTGTGAGATATCCAAAAAGTGTTGCTGTCACCTGTCAATCAAACAGATGCAGCCTGAGGGCCCGCCCCTTTGTACGCAGTATTAACGCAGGAAAATGTGCTCCGTGTGTTTTACTGTCTATTGAGACTAAACATGATTCCATTTGCTTCTTCATTCATTGATCAGTATATTACACCAGTATACTGAAGTGTTTCTGTTTCTTTGCCATTTTCTATATTTTAGGGCAAACACACTTTTTTCATCAGATTTGCTTACCAAATAGTTTTGGCCTTCAATCATATTATAAAAACTCAAATTCCAAATCGAACATTTGATTGCTTATAACATTTTAGTGATTGTGCACGCCAATTTGTTGTTTGAAAGCTGGTATTTCTGCACACTGTCAGAAAAAGACGAGACTAACAATATTAGTATTAAACTATTGTTTATTCGTTTTTTGGTAAAATATTGTTTCTTTGGTTTCAGCTGTTCATAAAGGGACAGCCTGTAATATGAAAAGGCTCTAGATGAAATGACCTGACAGCATTTTTAAGATGACAGTGATCGCTCAGTGTGAGGACACCACATCATTGTTGTGTTTGTAATTGTTATACTCACACCTGCTGTTCATCAACAAGCAATATCTGACACGGCAGAAATGAAACGATGACTAGTGTGAAAAAACAGCAATGTTTTTGGCACTTCTGCTTTGTCATTATGTGTGTGTGTGTGTGTGTGTGTGTGTGTGTGTGTGTGTGTGTGTGTGTGTGTGTGTGTGTGTGTGTGTGTGTATCCAACTTCTGTATTCCCCCTCTATGAACACCTCTCACCTTTGTCCCCCACCACTTGCCGTCCTGCCGCTCTGAGGAGTGGAGGAGGAAATCGCTCGATATTGCCATAGTAACTACACAGACGACAGCGGTGGCCTGTGTGTGTGTGTGTGTGTGTGTGTGTTGTTTCCTGATTGTGTGTCTGTGTGAAAGAAGAGTGGGAGAACTCCCTGACCTCTCTGTCAAAATGGAAAAGGTACAAGTGTGTTTGGAGTAATGTACGTGACACAAAACTGGTATTGTTGTCAATCTGTGATAGTGTGTGTGTGTGTGTGTGTGTGTGTGTGTGTGTGTGTGTGTGTGTGTGTGTGTGTGTGTGTGTGTGTGTGTGTGTGTGTGTGTGTGTGTGTGTCATCATGGCAAAATGTGTTTCTGGAGACACTGCTATAGTGGGAACTACCACTGAACCCGTTTTCAACAACTAGCATTTGTGAATCGTGAAACTTTAAATACTTTTGAGAATAGACCACTTCATGGAAAATAAATCTCTGCTGTTTTGGTCAAAAAGTTTGGAAATTGCTGAAAGTCAGTGTGGGGATTTAGTAGAGTGATAACGAGTGTCGTTACCAGAGGATATGCTGACACACAGAGGGAACTAACAGAAGACTGTATAAATAAATGAGCCAGTTAAGCTCCACTTAGATCGTACTGAAGCGCCGGCAGCAGAGATGAGGAGGAAGAGTCCAGACGGTTCTCTTTCAATTACAACCCAGCATCTGGCAGCTCAGAGCATCATAAACAACGTCCTCAGAACAATGGCTGAGGAGACAGAAAGGGAGTTCACATCCAGAGCGCAAAGTAAACAAACATTTCATCGGTCTCTTTTATTTGGGAGATAAGAGCGTCACTTTCTTGCCAAGATGATACCAATTTAATTTAAATATGTCGTAAAATAAAAATATGAGTTATTTGTATCCGTAATACTGACCGTCTAAGTGATGCACGCAGCACTTACAAGTGTGTGTGGGCAGGAATGAATTGGTCCCAGGGCCAAC